CCATCCTTCTCCGTTTGACTTATGAAAGCTCTTTGGCAGCTACTTGAGACATTCACATACCTCATAAACAACCAAACACTCGCTGACCTCCTACATAAAACCAAATCGAGTGACTCAACAGTAAAACAGTGTGTTCTTGCCAACACATTTGACCCAGACTGAAAACTAACCGTGGTCAAATCGTCCCACTGTTTGATAATGGTTTTGCTTTTGTTGTCGTCATTGTTAGCATGAAACACTATAAAAAAAGGCATGGGATGATAACCATTTTCAAGGTATATCGCAGTTTGGAAAAGTCAAGGTATTATAACCGCCCAAATTTTCTGTACAACAGTATCACCAGCAGAAAAGATGTCCAAAGATACCGTTTAAATTGTAAAGAAATGTGTTTTTGAAACTAATGAGGACAGAAGAAGTCTATGATTCCTGACATGTTTACTGCTAAAATTTCAAAATATTTTAAATGTTTCTCAAAATAAAGTATATGTTTTGTTCAAAGGGGAAAAACCCTTGATATTTTTATCCAAGATTATGGATATTGTCAGAACGTTATACTGGCCCATGCCTACTGTAAAAAAAAATGCTGGGTTCCACATAATTCCTAAATGTAGTTCAAACACAAATCAATTAAGTTATTTTAAGTTGTTTTTCACAAATGTAAGTGGATTTAACATAAAAGAACTACCCCCCCCCCCTTCACCCCAGACCCAACAAAAAAAAAGAAGAAATGTGTTGATTTAGCTCATTTTAAATACATAGTTTGAACAAGACCCACCCCCAAATTAAGAAAAGTGTTGATAGAGATCATTTTAAATAGTTTAAACAAGAAGCAAAAAAATCTTCTTTGTTTGCAAAAAATAAATAAGTTTAAACTTTATTGTCCGTTCTGCTTGACACAGAAAGGAAATTTTTCTTCAACACTGGATTTAGGACAACAATTACAAACATACAACAACGACACAATAACACTTATCAAGTCAACAACATAAGTTAAAAGTTTAAAAAACAAATTAGCCCCATGCGCAATACTGCAAATCATTCTTGGTAACCACCTCATTCACTACAAACATTGATTGGGTTTAGAACAACAACTGCCATTGGGATAAATGACTTTTTAAAGGCATTTCTTCGTGCTTTAGGAATTCTAAACCTGCGTCCTGATGGTAGCAATTCAAATGCTGAGTGAAGGGGATGTGTATTATCTTTAAAAATCACAACTGCTCTTTTTTCCATAAAAGAGTCAAATAAAATCTGCAATGAATGCTGTTTGTGACCAGTTATCTTATTTGCCTGATTGATAATTTGCGCTAATTTCTTTTTCTGTTTAAGTGTTGTGTTACCGAACCATGAAACAATATTATATGTGAGAACACTCTCTATAAGTGATCTATATGCCAAGTTTAAAGTCTGTGTACTAACATTAAAACTTCTCAATTTGCGGAGGAGATAGAGGCGCTGACTTGCTTTCTTATAAACCGTCTCTACATTACTATTAAAATTCAGTTTATTGTCAATAATTGTGCCTAAATACTTGAAATTTGAAACCTGCTCTACTATTTGTCCGTTTATGGTGACTGGTTTAAAGAGTCCAGTATCTACTCTTCTTGTTTGACTCCCCAGACATAACTTTTGTTTTCCCAATATTTAGGTGTAATGAACTTTGGCCAAACCAATCTATAATACTATCAATATATCTAAAATATAAAGAGCTATTCATTTCTTCCTGACAGGAAACCAATGCCAGATCATCAGCATATTTTATGAGTGTGAGATTGTCATCAATATTGCACTGCAGTTCATTAATATATATAGAAAATAAAAGAGGTGATAGTACACATCCCTGAGGTACCCCTATATTTAAAACAGAGCAATCAGACATAGCATGATTAACACAGACACGTTGTGGTCGGTTTTTTAAAAACTCTCTGATCCATATAATCAACCAGTTACTTACTTAAGTCATAGTTATATCACTGATTTATCCAATAGCAATAGCAAAGTCAAAATGAGTGAGGCAGCCAATCAGACTGTTTTTAAATTAGCTTTGAGGCCAATTTACAACAAGAGCGAGGTCAGTATTTTTATTTTTCACTAACAAAAAAATCTGATTTTAAATCTTGTTCTGTATCGTGACATGATACATTTTAGTGTAAACTCTGCTCTTCTTTTATCCTTTAAGTATTTTTTTGCAACACAGACTCATTGGAAATACGTGCTTTAACCTACAATTTTGTAAAACTGCAAAAAACTTCAACATATTTTTGACTAGTTTGGATTTAATATAAACACAAGGATGTACGACCCAACCTTTGTTCCTTTTCACAACGATAAGTTTTATTATTCACTCACTCTCCTTCAGATTAGTCTCTGCTTGAATGAGCGGAATGAACCACCAGATACTCTGGCATATGTTTTATGTGGCTGCATGTCCTTACAGCCACAGGTGTCAAACTCAGTTCTTGGAGAGCCGCAACTCTGCACTAATTAGTTTTAACCCTAATTAAATAATCCTGATCAAAGTAATTGAATGCTTTAGGCTTGTTTGACCTACAGGTACCTACAGGGGTGTTGAAGCAGGACTAAAACTAAACTGTGCTTGGCTGTGGCCCTCCAGGAATTGAGTTTGACGTCCTTGGCTTACAGCCACAACCTAGCACTGAAAGTAGCACTTGTAAACCCCCAGTGATGGGCACTCATTTGGGCACTCATTCACTACAGCCAGGCACGTGCACACATAGGGCTCAACCTGTGCAGTAAACATGCCCTTTTTAGCCTTGTATAGTAAGTGCCCTTCCAAAATTTCATTGCACATTTCAGATGAACAATCCACTAGAGGGCACAATTATTGATTACAAATCATAGACACGATTACATTATACCTGCATTAAAAGCACAGTATGTCATTTTTGCTGCTAGAGTGAACACTTTCACAACAAACAAAGGAATTGTTTCATGACAAGTGACTGAGTGTAAAACATGGGTGTTTTTATCTTCATGGCTCCTATAGAAATAATGTTCATGGATGAACTAAAGTTTTTGAAACTTATGATCATGACTAACAGCAAAAGAGTCTGTTAGGGGCAGAGTTAAAAAGGGACAAAGCTGTTCCTCAGTCTGCTGGTATTTGTCAGGGGGAGTCTGAAGCGCCTGCCGGAGAGCAGGAGAGAAAACCGTCTGTGAGCAGGGTGAGAGGTGTCCTTATGAATACTGCGTGCTTGGCGCAGACAGTGTTTCTTCTGGATGTCTTCTATGGCTGGGAATGTGGTCCCTGAGATGCGTTGGGCAGCTTTCACCATTCGCTGCAGTGCCTTACACTCAGCAACAGAGCAGCTTCCATACCAGACTGTGACGCAGTTGGGATATTATATTAATATTCACTGATCATACTAGATGTTTTTGTGAGGATTGGTCATTGTAAATTAAAAATATTGTACACAATTCATGTAATCATGTTCTGAATGTAATGAGACAAGATCCAATTCCCTTTCAAAACATAATATTGTTTCGATGTATACAGTTAAAGTTAGAATTATTAGCCCGCCTTTGAATTTGTTTTCTTTTTTAAACATTTCTCAAATGTTTACCAGAGCAAGGAAATTTTCACAGTATGTCTGATAATATTTTTTTCTTCTGGAGATAGTCTTATTTGTTTTATTTCGGCTAGAATAAAAGCAGTTTTTAATTTTTCAAACACCATTTTAAGGTCAAAATTATTAGCCCCTTTAAGCTATATAATGTTTGATCATCTACAGAACAAACCATCATAATACAATAGTTTGCCTAATGACCCTAACCTGCCTAGTTAACCTAATTTAAGCTGTACACTTTAAGCTGTACAGAAGTGTCTTGAAAAATATCTAGTCAAATATTATTTACTGTCATCATGGCAAAGATAAAATAAATCAGTTATTAGAGATAAGTTATCAAAACTGTTATGTTTAGAGATGTGTTGAAAAAAAAAATCTCAGTTGAACAAAAATTGGGGAGAAAAATAAACAGGGAGCTAATAATTCAGGGGGGCTAATAATTCTGACTTCAACTATATATATATATATATATTCATAATAGTTCAAATTGTTTGGTTGTTTTTGTACTGCTCTTACATACATCAATTTAAATTCTTATTTAATTCCTTTAAACAAACAAACAAAAACAAAAAAAGCTACAAGGCTACAGCTTGGTTGAACGTCGTTTAATTTTCACGAGGACATTGGAAAGGTCAAACACCATCTGTGACAACTAAATCAAGCCATGGGGAAACACAACCCCTGCAATGACATGTTTTGGTTTCTCTGAATTTGATTAAAAAGCTTCATTCTGACCACATTAGGAACATTTAAGCACTCAAATCCAGTATCAGACCCACTGGACACTGAAAGTTTAATAGCGACAATAAAAAAAAATTAAATTAACCATCAATCTCAAATAAAGAACATTGAGATCCGAGGACATTTTAACAGAGGTCACTGACTCTTGTCACAGCAGTGTTTGTGTGTGTGTGTGTGTGTGTGTGTGTGTGTGTGTGTGTGTGTGTGTGTGTGTGTGTGTGTGTGTGTGTGTGTGTGTGTGTGTGTGTGTGTGTGGTATATTAACTATGTTGTGGTAACCTTAATTTTTGACTTTGTGGGGAGATTTATTATTTTATTTATAGGTCCCCATGAGAAAAAAAGGCTCATAAATGATACAGAATGAAGTATCATGAAAAACTAAAATTGCAGAATGTTTTCTGTGAGGCTTGGATTTGATGTATAGAGTTAGCATATATTCAGCCTGTACAATAATTATTATATCTATTTGAAGTCCTTATTAAACATAAAAACTCAAAGTGTGTGTATACAGGTATGTGTGGCTTACAGGGATGCAAAGTTGTACAATGACATAGATATGATTTAGTTGGCTGTGTGTGGGAGGTGAGATCTTTACATCATCATCCTTTAATTGGGCTGGGTGCTTAATTACATTTTCTGGTTAACAGGAGAAATCCAGCTGTCATATGATATAAAAGAGAGAGACGAGAACCCAGAAGGACAAAACAAGATTCAGACATTTCAACAGACATTTCTCTTTGGTGAGTCTTTTACTGCATTTAACATTCAGATTTTGCACAGTGACATTTGTCATTTTAGGGTAATTTTGTCTAAAAGGTTGTTAGAGCGTGGTGATATTAACATTATTATCTGCTTTTAGATTATTGTAAATGTGTATATAATATTAAAACCCTTTATGAGGAGCAGTGAGCATATGAAATCCTGGATACAATGCTAGAAACAAGAATTTATAAATTGAAGCTTAATTTGTACTAATGTTATGACATAATTAGACCTCATCAAAAGGTATGTTATGTTTATCATAAGAATAATGGAATAAATCATGAAGTATGACACACTTGATGCTTTATTTTGCCTTATTATCAGTTCTTAATTGATGATGTATGCTCAAAGTTACATTTTTCATTAAGGCATTTTACCTAAAAAAAGAAGATATTTTGTAATAAAACCACAACAACAACAAATGAACCATGGTTTTACAGCACTATAGTTTAAAAAAAGAATACTGCAGTTGTATAGCCTGTGATAAAATGGTGGATTTTTGTAATTGATTGTTGTTTTAATTGTCTGTGCTTTTTTCCAAAATTGTAAATAAACTGTAACCTACATTTACAAAAACAACAAGTCAGGACTGAAAAACAATATGTGGTATATTACATTAAACCATTATAGTTGATATTTGCTACTTACATTGTACTAATAAATGCTTGTTTATAAACAACAGTGTGTGGAGAAACAGTGTCATATTCTGGCTACACGGTCAAAACATGTAGGTCACGTTATGCAGATTATACTGTTCGCATGAAAAAAAAGTAATTAAAAGTTATTTACAGTAAATATTTAAATGTTTTAGAATTATAATAACAATTATTAGATTTAATCTGTTGTGATGGTGTACTGTATATTGCAGTTTTATACAGCTTTAGTACAATGACACAGTTTAATGCAGTAAATCTAAACTAAATCTAAATGAAAGTGCTGTTTTATTAGTTTATAAGTTCACTAGTTTAATCTACTGTACTGTATGCTGTAGCATTAACTAACATAGTTGTAAATACTATAATACACACTTCACTATAGTATGTTTAGAAAACACTGTAGTATTTTTTTTCATGTGGGCTGATACTGTTTTGGGTTTCCATTTAAACAGTACAGTTTCAGTAGACTTTCACGTTATACTGGCTTGATTGTGACATGGGTGTTTTCATTTTGTTCATGTTTTAGTCAAGCAGCTTTCAGAAAGACAGGCTTCAAGGTTTAGTGACGATGTTGTCTCTGTCAGTCAGATATACAGGTGTTTGTGTGATTGAGTGCCATTATGACTGGACTGACCGTGCTTTGGTCTCTTCTGGCTCTGCTCTGTACTGTCCTGCCGTCGTCTGCTGCTCAGGGTGAGTCGCTGTTTTCTGCATTTTTTTGCCAGTTCTGCTTTGAATAGACCCTTTTCACAACGACGTCACTTCCCCCATCGGCAACACAGTGTATTTTTAGTTCCGGTATCTCTTAATATCCTACAAAACCCAAATTTGAAAGGTCTCACTTTGTTTGACAAAGAATTTAAAATTTCTCAACTTGCTGACGATACCACTTTATTTCTTAAAGATCAAACTCAAATTCCTTCAAGTCTTAGTATTATTCAATCTTTTTCTGAAGCCTCAGGATTATATTTAAATCTTACAAAGTGTGAAATTTTTTGTCTCTATGATACACAGCAATCCCTTATACACAACATACCTGTTAAAGATTGTGTGAAGTACCTGGGGATTTTCCTTACTAAAGACAAATTATCTCGTCAAAATCTGAATTTTTCACCTAAAATTTCAAAAACTAGAATTATCTTTAATTCATGGCTTCAACGTGACTTATCCATTTATGGCAGGGTACTTATATCTAAAGCTGTAGGGCTGTCTCGTTGTGTTTATCCTGCGATGTCTCTTTTTATCAGTGACAAAATTGCTGATAATGTAAATAAAGTGTTATTGAACTTCATATGGAAGAATAAAACCCATAAAATTAGAAAATCAGTCTTATCTAATAGGCGCTCAGAGGGTGGATTAGAGGTTTTAAATTTCAAAGATTTAATTAGCTCATTTAGAATAAATTGGCTACAAAGATGTCTCCGTAGTAATAAATCAATTTGGTACCATATCCCCAATGTTATATTTGATAAATTAGGTGGTTTAGACTTTCTTTTAAAATGTAATTTCATCCCTTCTAAATTGCCAATCTCCCTCTCTAACTTTCACAAACAAGCTTTACTTGCTTGGAAATTGTGTTACGTGCACAATTTTTCCCCACACAAAGAAATTCTTTGGAACAACTCTAATGTCTTAACTCGTGGGAAATCTCTTTTTATTAATAAGTGGTTTTTAAAAATGATGGCAATATTTTGGAATATGAAGAATTTATGACATTGTATAACTTCCCTTTGCCAGCTAAATCCTTCAACTGTGTTATAAAGAGTTTGTCACAAAGTTATGTGCATTTATTTAAAACTTTTCTTTACTTTAATGAGAGGGAAACAATTATGCCTAAACTTTTTTTGGATAGAGTGTCTTTTTTTGATACAAAATGTGACAACAGACATGTCAGACAATTGTTACATTACTCTGTATATACCACCCCAAGATGTAAATTTTTTTGGACCAACTTCTTTGACTGTATTCAATGGAAGAGAGCATGGTTATTACCTGAAAAATTCAGCATATCCAACAAAATAAGAGAGATACATTTTAAGATCTTGCATAATGTTTATCCTACAAATTCCCAAATTGCGAATTATTTTGATATATCTAATTTGTGTACTTTCTGCAATACACATGAAGAGACTTTATTTCACTTATTCTATAGTTGCACTCACATTAAACATCTTTGGAATGACATTACTTTTTATTTATCATCCATTTTTAAACATGATTTAAATTTGTCTATAAAAGATATATTTCTGTTTTTCTTGGATGATGGTCATGCTCTCGATCTTATTGTAAATTTTTTTGTGTTACACTGTAAATTTTTTATACACAAAAATACGTTTCTAAAAACAATACCTGTTTTTAATACTTTCCTTGTTGAAATTTCGTATAATATTGAATCTCTTAAGCTTATTAATAATAAGAAAAATAATAAGTTTCTTAAAGCTTATGACAATCTTTTTTGTTAATGTTTGAGGCTGTGTATTTTTTTTTTCTCTCTGTCTTCTTTCTTATTTTTTGTTATTGTATTTTTTTCTTCAATGCAGTGATGTTATTATTCTTGTATTCAATAAAAAAAAAATATATATATATATATATATATATATATATATTTTTTTTTTTTTTTTTTTAGTTCCGGTTTACCTTTGAATGAATGGGAGACTTAATTGGAAAACTCAAATAAATATGAACATTGCACTTTGTGATTTAAGACTATTATAATATTGGGCATGTGTACAAATGATTCTCTTTCAATACTGAACTGCCTTTGAGTTAGAATATGATTTTTTTGAGCTATTAAGTACAGGAAGTTATCATGTTATGCTTGCAACCTTTTCACTTGTTAATTAAGTTTATTTCCTCAATAATGGATTAATGAATGATGTGTTGTTTTTTGCGCAGGCAGCTGTGTGGGCAGATGTGGAGAGCAGTTCAGCCGTGGACACATCTGCAACTGTGATTACAACTGTTTTGTTCATGGCGAGTGCTGCAAGGATTTTGAGGACATCTGCACCGCCAGTAAGTGCCTCACCACATTCCTACATTTTTTTTAGTCACTGTTTTGTTACTAGCTTACATATTGGTGAATATTTGTAAAATAGTAAATAAAAACATCTATCTATGTATCTCCACCTATAAATGGGATGGGTGGGTGCTATTAGAAGGGTGGTAATTTGAAGGTATTAATCAAATTAACTAATGATATTTTTGTTTACAACATTCATTGAAAACCTTTTTCTTCAGTTCCCTATCCAGTTCACAAATTTTAATTCAAAAATGTATTCTCGTATTATATTTTAATAAAAATACAAATAAGATTTTATGATTGTACTGTAATTATTCAATGTTAGTTTTTTTCAATAATTTTTCAATGTTATAATTTGTTTTAACTTGAAGAGACAGGATAATTTTAACTGAATTATACAAAATATAAAAAAATAATAATAAAAATATATATATTTTTTTTATTTATTGCTTTATATTTGTTATTTATTTTTCAGTGGATGTTTATGGAACTTTTAGACAAATTCCAAAAGAAAAAACTGTTTTGTACTATACCATATTGACGTATAACGCTTTTAAGTGGCGCAGTGGCTAGCACGTTTGCCTCACAGCAAGAAGGTCGCTGGTTCGAGCCTCTGCTTGATCAGTTGGCATTTCTGTGTGGAGTTTGCATGTTCTCTCCCTGTTGGTGTGGGTTTCCTCTGGATGCTCCGGTTTCCCCCAAAGTCTTAAAACATGACGTACAGGTGAATTGGGAAGGCTAAATTGTCCGTAGTTTATCTGTGTGAAAGAGTGTTTGTGGATGTTTCCCAGTGATGGGTTGCGGCTGGAAGGACATCTGTTGTGTAAAGCATATAAAGCATATAAAGTGGCAGTTCATTCTGCTGTGGCGACCCAGGATAAAAAAAGGGGCTAAGCCGAAAAGAAAAGGAGTGAATGAATAAAGCTTTTAAGTCTTCGTATAATTTAGAGACTATATATTAAAATGTCGTTTTAAACATTTTTTAACCCTTTAACTGCCCCACCAAGAAAAAAAAAATATTTGGATTGTATCTCTTAACTCCTAATGTCACTAGTTAACACAATCATTGCATTTTTTTTTCAACACACCCTATAATTTCTAAAATATCAACCTTTATCAAATGGTAGATGTCAGTAAAAGTACCAGCATTAATACTATGAAAATCTGAAAATATGAAGTGTAAGACAAATTCATTTACAAATATTTCATCTGAATAAAACAGTTTTAAATACTAAATCCTCTTTATTTTTATAAGTATGCAATAAAATATTTCAGATTCTCATTTAACATGATTGTGGTTTTATTGTAAAAAATAAAGAAATAAAGAAAACAAGTGAGCAACATTTTTGTTGTTGTTGTTTTCATAGACCAACAATGCTGCGTGTGTAAATCATTATTTAAAACAGACATACTTTAAATGACCTTAACAGTCGTTATTAAAAACAGTCAAAATATGGTCAACCATTTGGTGGAGCAGACAGTTTAAAGAAGTATAAAAACTGTGAAGAAATCTGTCATTTGGCTCAAGAGACTGTCATATTTTTTACTTTAGTGAAATTATTAAAGACTTCACAGCAGATAGATTTGTGTAACCTGGGGCTGATTCCTAAATTTAATAAGTTTGTCTGGTTATAAAAACACTGGTTGTAACTTTAAGTAAGTTGCAGCAATTGGTTAACTTGGGTGACTTTTTCAAAATAGTTTGTTTGACAAATGCTCTGTCCCAATTTGCATCTCATAAATAATGTCCTAATGTGTTGTCTGTGTTCATGCAACTGGCTTTAAAGAAGAACATTTTTTGGATGCATTTATTTTAGGGCATAATGCAGCCTCTCATCATTTTCTTACCCTTCACTAATAGAAGTTATTTTAAAGAAAGCAGGAAACCGATAACCATTGATTTCAATTAGTTTTTCGTACTATGGATGTCAGTGATTACCAGTTTTCAACATTGACAGAATAAAATCCTTGAGAAATTTATATTTAATATGTGAAATACTAGATTTGTTTGATCTATAATTGTTGTGTAATTGTCAGGTGAGTCCTGCAGAGGTCGCTGTGGTGAGCCGTTCCGCCGTGGCCGTCAGTGTGAGTGTGATTCTGGCTGTGTTCTCCACAACTCCTGCTGCCCAGACTACAGCACACACTGCGGTATGATGACATTTATTAACTTACACTCTTCACGACTTTACTGACCCAGAAAACTAATGATTATTAGCAAACGTTGAATTTTTACTTCTACAAATGTATGATAAATTCATTAAAAAAAGACACATTCTAATGGACAAAAATGTAAACAAAAAACTCATATTTCAGTTGTCTGTCTGTTTTGACTGCATTCTTGTCTTTTTCAGATGCTTTCTCCCATTTGCAAGCTCCAAGAAGCTCCAAACCAAACAAACCAGCAGGTGTTTTTTTTTATGTTTATTTGATTCTCCTTTCATTACAACTACAGATTTGTTTGTTTTAAGCAGCTTTTGGGAGCCTTTAGGGCTGAATGGGTGTAGTAGAAACTCTAAATCAGTGGTTCTCAAAGTAGAGGTCGTGGACAATGAGAGGGTGTCTCTTGGTAATTTCCAAAAATCGAATACATTTTAATAGTCTATTAAAGTTTTAATAATCTATTAAAATTGCCATATTTTATTCATAACCTACAGACGATTTTTGTTATAGTTATATTAAAAATACAAAATGCTAATAAAAAGCTATTGGCCTTTTCGATATATATTTTTTTCATGACCCATGGGGTTTTTACGCTAGATTAACAACACAGCAATCTCGTCAATTGCAGCAGATCCCACAAATCTAATTAGATGAGGTTAAATTAAAGAAATGAATGATTGACTATACAAAAATTAGACAGCTGCACTTTTTTGTGCTGTCAACATGCTTGTGTTTATATAGGCCTATTGATGTGGGTGAGCCATTGCGTGTTGATTGTTTATGTTTATTACCACCTTCAAAAATAGTGGGGGTCGCAAGTCACTGACATTGTTACTATGGAGTTCATGGGCTGGAAATTTTGGGAACCCCTTCTCTAGGTGCTGTGCAGAAAGTCATTATAAGGGCTTTCACACCAGAAGAACTTATTTTTATATAGTTCTAGAACTATTGATCGAAGTACCTGCTATAAGTCATGTACTAGGAACACCATTTGTGGAACTAATTTAGTTCCTACTTCAGAGCAGATTCTAATCCAGAACAATAGGAATTACAGTGATTTAAGTGCTCACTAATACTCAGAAAGCTAATTACAGCAAAGATTCCTGATCTGAAGCCTATGTGAGCCTCTAAGAACTTTCAGACGATCGTGAGAGTGAGGTGAAAGGTGCAGATACGTTTCATTTTGGAGATCAAGATGGATCATAAAGAGTGAATCTGACAATGAATTATGAGTAAATATCAAGCAGCAGTCATCCTTTAACAGATTTGTATTCTTTCTTCTTGAAATAAGAAACAGTGGGGATGCATTCTGACTGGAGCCCCTGTAGTACTTAGTTTATATTCATTTTAGACTGAATAAAGACAACATGTATTTTTGTTTGCTGTTTTGTAGATTATACTGAGGAGTGTATTGCAGCATGTCTTGCAGCTCAGCAAAACCCAGATGTGATGAGATATGGTGAGCTCACATCAAAATATATGTGTACTATGGTTATATAAAACCTTATGTGTATTCTTTTCTTTGAAAGAATCTTTTATACTCTTAATCTGTATTTATTTGTCTTTCCTCTCTTATGATCCTCCTGAAATCTAATATCCTGATTTAGCACACACATTTTTTTATGAATTATAAAGGATTATGCATTTAGGTCTGTTTTTGACTCAATGTTTTTAAATTTTTGACTTAATGAAATAAACTAAATGTTTAGTACATTTTGATTATAAACGTGAATATGTATGCATAATGATGCACCATTAAAACATGAAACATTGTTCACGTTTAATTTGAAAGTCGTAGTTTGAAAGATTTATGCTCAAGGTTTTTTTTCTTCACTCTCCTATTGGTGAAGTTTTTTTCCCTCTCCGCTGTCGCCACTGGCTTGCATGGTTCAGGATCTGAAAAGCTACTCATCAATGAATTTGCTCTTCAGTGTTTGGACTCTCAATAATGACTTCAAACCACACTTAACTGAGCTAAACTAAACTTAAACACTAAAAACTGAACTACCCTGATCCTGTTACTATGAACATTTATGTGAAGCTGCTTTGACACAATCTACTTGTAAAAGCGCTATACAAATAAAGCTGAATTGAATTGAGTAAATAGTATTAATTTGGTTAAAAACTGTGTGTGTCCTGAATTTGGGCTGTTCAACAGTGACACATTTAGAGAAACTCATTCATTCATTTAGTTTCTTTTTGGCTTATTCCCTTTATTAACCTGGGGTCGCCACAGCGGAATGAACTGCCAACTTATCCAGCACATGTTTTATGCAGCGGATGCCCTTCCAGCTGCAATCCATCCCTGGGAAACACCCATACACACTCATTCACACTAATACACTATAAACAATTTAGCCTACCCAATTCACCTATACCGCATGTCTCTGGACTTGTGGGGGAAACTGGAGTACGCGGAGGAAACCCATGCGAACGTGGGGAGAACATGCAAACTCACATTTAGAGAAATTTAGTTTTTAATTTAATAAAATTATTTATTATTAAAAGATGTTATTTTTAGAAGCGAATGGACTGAGAACTTGAAATTACCATGTTTTCTTTCACTTTCACATTCTCAGTCTATTTGCTTCTGAAAAATAATTCAGTTATTTTTTCCTACATTTTCAAAAGATGTATTTTTGTACCTAAAGTGTACATTTTTGGTACTTTAAAGGTAGGATACATATTAGCACTTAAATGTTTCAAAGATACACTATCGTCTTGTGTAATATGTACCTCTAAGGTATTAATATGGAACCTACAAACGCCTTTCGAAACGATGTTGCCTCATTGTCCGCCTGTGCACCTTTATTTCTGAGAGTGCCCAATTTTTTTTATTTTTCTCAAAGTCAAAAACTGAAGATGCATTGAAATTGCATTATTTAACATAATAAATATCTTTAGTGTCAAATGCTTGTTAGTTACCAGTTTAATTGTGTTAAGAAAAAAATTACCAACTCATTTTTATCAGTAGCTTATAACTTTTTTTTCAGGGAGTGGACTGAATAATTTGATGACTCCATCTGCCTCTCCGTTCCTTGCTGGTGATGTGTCTCAGGACGGCCCCTATACTCCTCTGTCCGCCTCTGACATCCCTGGTAACAGACTGATTAAAAAAAGATAGCCAATAGCAGAACAACAACTACTGGGGAGGTGGGGATAAAGATAGCAAGGCCCCATCTGCTTGTTCAAATTTACAATCCCTGCATAAAATAAATGTAAATTTTCACATGTGTCAGCGATACATAAAGTTGAAGTGTGAAATATTAGCCCCCCTTTGAATTTGTTTTTTCTTCCTTAATTAAATATTTCCCAAAGTATGTTTAACAGATTCAGGAAATTTTCACAGTATGTCTGATAATATGTTTCCTTCTGGAGAAAGTCTTATTTGTTTTATTTTGGCTAGAATAAAAGCCGTTATTAATTTTTTAAACACCATTTTAAAGACAAAATTATTAGCCCCTTTAAGCTAGTTTTTTTTTTCAATAGTCTACAGAAAAAAAACATCGTTATACAACAACTTGGCTAATTACCCTAAACTGCCTAGTTAACCTAATTAAGCCTTTAAATGTCACTTTAAGCTGTATAGAAGTTGCTTGAAAAATATCTAGTGAAATATTAGTTACTGTCATCATGACAAAGATAAAATAAATCAGTTTTTAGAGATTAGTTATTAAAACTATTACGTCTAGAAATGTGTTGAAAAATTCTTCTCAAACAGAAAATGGGGAAAAAGATGAACGGGGGGGGCTAATGATTGTGAAAAAATTCAGGGGGGGTAATGATTCTGACTTCAACTGTATATTGCATATCTTGCATATTAACATGATGTACATTTGTGCAACCCTAATGCAAACCTACAAACATTTTATTTTACTTACACACACAAATACTGCTAAACTTAGATTTGTCATGGCATTTATTTATTGCTGCTCGCTGGTGATTTTAAGTGCTTCTTTGTTTCTTTATTTGCATGAAAGTGTCTGCTTAATAAATAAATGTAAGTTTTAGCACATGCTTCAGAATATAAACTGAACGACTCACATACTGTCACAGGTTTGTCTTCCAGTCCTTCTGAATTTCATCTGGCAGAATCGGATGCTGCTGCTCCCCTCCAGCCAGCAGGGGCTTCCTCTGAGAATCCACAAGCTGTACCGGTGCAGGTGTCTCTCTCCATCAGCGGGCAAGCAGACAGGCCATCCAGCAGTTCAGGCAGACCCAGCATTCCTGCAGACATCGCTCAGGCTCCAGCGGACAGCAGCCCTGCTGGACCAGGTATAAAAATTGCTCATACATTTAAAATGAACAATTTATAATTTATTATTAAAAGATGTTATTTTTAGAAGCGAATGGACTGAGAACTTGAAATTACCATGTTTTCTTTCACTTTCACATTCTCAGTCTATTTGCTTCTGAAAAATAATTCAGTTATTTTTTCCTACATTTTCAAAAGATGTATTTTTGTACCTAAAGTGTACATTTTTGGTACTTTAAAGGTAGGATACATATTAGCACTTAAATGTTTCAAAGATACACTATCGTCTTGTGTAATATGTACCTCTAAGGTATTAATATGGAACCTACAAACGCCTTTCGAAACGATGTTGCCTCATTGTCCGCCTGTGCACCTTTATTTCTGAGAGTGCCCAATTTTTTTTATTTTTCTCAAAGTCAAAAACTGAAGATGCATTGAAATTGCATTATTTAACATAATAAATATCTTTAGTGTCAAATGCTTGTTAGTTACCAGTTTAATTGTGTTAAGAAAAAAAGGTATAAAAATTGCTCATACATTTAAAATGAACACCAGCATTTCGAAATATTTTTAATGATTTATTATAATTATTTAACATATTCATATTCTAAAGGCAAAATTATTAGACCTGCTGTGAAATTTTGATTCTTTTTCAAATATTTTTATTAACTAATAAATGACTGTTAAAGTCATTTAAAGAATGACTTTTAAATGATGGTTTACACACACAGCATTTTTGGTTTACAAAATAAAAAAATAAAAACATAATCATGTTGTGCTACTACACTTGATTTTGGTTTTATTGAAAAAAAACAAACAAGAACAGTTATTCATTGTTAAATGAGAATTTAAAATTTTATGACGTATTTCAATAAAATAAAAATGATTTAGCATTCAAAAATTTTGTTTTATTTTGATTCTGGTTTTAAATAAATTGGTCATTGATAGAGCCAGTTCGGTGGATGGGGATGTTTGGGAGGCCTAAGGGCTGATGGTATGTATGTATTTTTTATTTAGTGCCATGTCAGCACCCAAGGCTATCTTCATGGCAGGAATCTTTCAACAATAAATATACAATTTAAAAATCAACAAACAAAACAAACATAAATTAAATAAGATTTTTTGTGTTAATACATGATAAAAATTCGAAAATCTTTTCTGGTTTCACTTTGTCAAAAATGTCCTTCAAAGAGTTAAATTCATAAAAAGTCCTTCTGGAATCAGTAAAAACAGGACAGTCCAGTAAAATATGTTTTATAGTAAGAGGAGTTATGCAGCACAAACACTGAGTAGGGTTTTCACCTTGAAGCAAAAAACCATGTGTTATTCTCGTATGCCCAATATGACATCTGGTAAAAACTACTTGATCAAATCGATTCTTAAAATGTCTTAAAATTCTGTGTGAAACTTGAGGTTGGATTTCATGTAATTTATTGTTTTCTAATGCATCCCATTCCTTTTGCCACTTGTTTAAAATGTAAGCGTTGATAAAAGGTTTCATCTCTGACGGAGGAATTTGGCATTTGTTCACTACTTGCTTCAAAGCATCTTTAGCAGCTGCATCAGCTCGCTCATTGCCTAAAAGTCCGACATGTCCAGGAACCCAGCAAAAAATGATGTGATAAAACTGATTTTGTAGTTGAACTTTAGTTAAAATATTGTCAATCAAAGGATGATCATTCGTTGAAGCCTAAGGGCTGATGGAAGGAAGGGCTAATGGAAGGAATTTGGCCAGGACACCGGGGTTACACCCCTGATCTTTACATAAAGTGCCATGGGATTTTTTATAACCACAGAGAGTCATGACCTCAGTATAACATCTCATCGGAAAGACGGATGTGTTGGGGGAAAAATGCATTGAGTGTGTTAACTAGGGACATTAGGAATTAAGAAATGCAATCCAACATTTATTTTCTTGGTGGGGCGGTTAAAGGGATAAACAACATTATTTACTGAGACTAAATAAATTTGTTAGTAGAAATTAGGTTTAAAAATATTACGTTGAAAAAAAAATCACTTCGCTTAACAGCACTTGTAAAAAAGTTAAAAAGGAATTCAAATTTCACAGGATGACTGATGATGGCAAGACACCCCAGTGTCTTTACTGAAAGAATCACATGCTCATTTGAATATGCTGAGTTGGGGCTGTATTAATAATGGCTAACTATTAAAATATTATGTCCTGTCATCATGACCAATAAAAATGCTGATAATTTCAATAGTATCTGGATGCAGCCTTTATGATGGAAGCTGAGATTGCATCACTCAGCGATGCAATGTCAGACACAATGCACTCAATGGAGTGAGTAACGTCACAGTGAAGGGTAGGGTTAGGGGTGGGGTTAGGTGAGCACATTAAAAAGCATTGGATGCAGCTCAGATTGCACTGCACCGAGTCTGCACCCAGACCTCTCTCAATAATTTAGCTTTTACTGTGTGTTTGTTTGTGTTTATTCTTCTTTTGTTTACTTTTCTTATTTCATTGTTTTTGTATCATAGCTTGGTTAAAAAGGCAACATTATCCTAAATCTTAACTCTTTCAAAATATTGATGAAAGATATTAAAGGTTGATCTCTGTGCCTCAGGGCTCAATCTCTGCAGTGGAGTTGTCATTGATGGAATGGCTGCTCTTTTCAACGGCTCCATTATTGTTTTCAGAGGTACACATTCTGCATTTTCCTCCATACTGTTTGGGTATAACGTTAAGACATTATGTCTTAAGTATTCAATTAGAGACATTAAGTGAGTCTTGTCCATCCCAGGTCACTTTTTCTGGCTGCTGAACCCCAAGACCAGAAGGGCTGGTCCTGCTCGCAGAATCACTGAAGAACTAGGCGTCCCGTCACCCATTGACACGGCCTTCACACGCTGCAACTGCCAGGGCAAGACCTACATCATCAAGGTACTGGAGAACATCCAAAACAACGTCAGTACTTTTATTTGCAACCGTGGGTTTAGAAAATACTACAAAATGATTCTCTTAAGTGAAAATACAGATACTACATGAAAATTAAGTTAAAAGTATCTGGCCACAAATCCTCACTCACTACCCTTTGGGTTAGTGCCTGTTTTGGGTTAGGAATGAACCACCAGTTACTCTAGCATTTGTTTTATTTGTGGCAGATGTCCGTCCAGCTGCATGACCAAAAATACACTTAAGTAAATGTAAAAAATAAAGCGTTTAATACTTAAGTTATGCCTATTGTGCATTAAAAAGGGTCATGTTTTGGTTTTGGGGGTCTCCAACAACAGGCTGATATGCATGCAGGTCAAAAAACACTTTCATGGTCTTATAATAAGCATTTATTTTTACCTAATTATCCCAACGACTCCCATATGATTCGTTTCGTGGTTTATTTGTTCACAAACCCCTCTTTAGTGCGATGCTAAACTCCACCTATTGGTTCGATGATCTAGTCTGTTGTGATTAGTCGACTGCGTTTAGAGCGAGACAGATAGAAATGCCCACCACGTCTTATCAACAATTTTGAAGTAGCCAGATTGTTGTGTGTGTGTGAGTCCAATGCAGGAGTGCATTAAAGCAATGCAGTTTAACACCAGCATATTGCTTTATTCTTTACCGTGACACACATTCAGTATTAATCCTCACAGTGGCAAAAGCTGAACTAATTTAAAACTTGACCACTGCACCTGTGTAGAAACAACTGACGGTGGCCTTAGCAACAACAAACGGCAGTGGATCGTAAGCTTACAAATGTATTTAAATCCATAAACAAAGCGCCACGCGTTGCGTTTTTAATGTTTTCTTAATGTGATACGAGAATATAAAGAGATAACCAGATACAGTACAAGTGGTTACAAGTAACAAAACAATTGAATACATAATTTGCAAGCTAGAGAAAACAAGGAGGCAACCAATTTAATCACATTTACTAACACTTGTGAAATGGAGGAAGAAACTGATCCATGAACCTTGTACTGTAAGGTTCTTGTCAAGCTCTGACAAAGTCAAATACATCAATAGTCTTTCTGATCCTTCTTCTTAACAAACGGCCGATAAATTCCCTTTATATAAGTGTCTAGATTGCTAAAGCGTTCGTCAGAAAATTGACGGGAACACTGCACAAGGTTGGGGCTATAATGCTCAGGTATTTTTGCAAAAATAAACATCAACCACTGACTCTTCACAGCCCCATATTTAGGTAGGGAAAAAGACACTAACTTTCCCTGACACCTCAGAGCACAGTGTCTTCGCAACATGATTCAGCCGGGATCTGCTACAGTGTTTGTTTTCCTCTTTTTCTTTCTACAGTGTTTGTGGGTGGGGCCGGGGGTATCAATTTTCCCGGGTCTGCACATGCAACAAATGAGTCGACTCTTTTATAGATGAATCAATAGTTTTGAACACGGTGCACTTTCAGATTTAAGCCTTGACTGGATATTTCACTTCACTCGGAGCTGTGGATTACACACTGGATGGAAGGTCATTTTCAAAAACCCATGATACGGGCTCTTTAAGATGTCAATGTACTTTTTTTTTTTCAAAAAAAAAAAAAATAAATACAAATTATGAGGGGACATTTTCGTTTAACCATGTAGATGTTTTGCAAAAAATAAATGTCAAAGTAATTTGTCACATTAAGTGGAGGTAGGGACGAAAAATGGCAATGGCTTATAACATTCATAGTCTAAACGACAACAATTAAAGGTTAAATACATCTTACGTACTTAATTATAATTAAAAGCTTCTTTTTTACATAAGTGTGATTTTGGCCATGCGACTCAAAGGTTTGGAACAGTTTTTATTTTTATTTTTTGAGTCAATTTTCTATCCATTTAAAGGGTCATTCAGTTTCTCAACGCCATTTATTATTGGAAAATCACAGAATGTTCCTTTAAACCTTTGGGGAGATTTGTAACATTTAAATCATCAAATAACTGATTGAATAAAAACACTCCAGTATACTTAACAGATAACTAATAGAAATTAAGCTACAGAAAACATTAAGAGACTTGAAAATGTTTGTGGATGTACTGGATTTAGGATATTTGTTTTATTCTACATTTATCATGTAGCACTAAATTGACATTTTTTAAGCTGTATAAGCAGTATAACAAGCTAAAACAATGCACTTGATCATACATGTTAAAGGGATAGTTCACACAAAATTAACAAAAACATTGTTTTTATTATTCTGTTAAACACAAAAGACAATATTTTGAAAATGTGGGAAAGCTGTAGCCATTGACTTCCATAGTAGGAAAAACAAATACTATTATAGTCAGTGGTTACAGGTTTCCAGCTTTCTTCAAAATACCGTTTGTGTTCAACAAAAGAAATGCATACAGGTTTGAAACAAGTGAAAGAGTAAATGGCGACGATTGTCACAATTGGGTGAACTATCACTTTAAGCATGCACATTTGTTTATCATATTTAATGTGCATCATCATCTTATTCATCAGGTATATGTTTCACACAGCAGATGCCCCTCCAGCCACAACCCAGTATTGGGAAAAATACACACTCGCATTCACACACACTCATACCGTGAGGCGACAGTGCGAACCGCTGAGCCACCTTTAATGTGCATATGAAAGAAAACAAAATGTTAAGAATAAACAAAAACAGTTTTTCTTTAGAGATGTTGTCAATTACAGATCAGAGTACTTGTACTTTTAACTCAATAAAGTGCAAATTCTCAAATACAGTACAGTAATCAACTATTTTACACAACTTTGCTAACCGACTGAACTGTATATTTTCTCTTACTAAGGGTGACAGTTACTGGAGTTTTGAGAATGGGGTTTTGGAGTCTGGATATCCAAGATCTGTGTCGCAAGATTTCGGTGGGCTCAGCGGTGACATCACTGCTGCTCTCCCAGTCCCAGCCACCAGAAAGAGGCCCGAATCGGTCTACTTCTTCAAGAAAGGTGCTGAATAGAGCCATCTGCCTCATGTGTTTCTATTTTGCATTTTCAATTTGTATTTTCTATTTAGGGGGTAAAGTTCAGAAACTCTCTTTTCCTCCTGGAAGTGGACCAAATTGCAGTGGGAAGAGGTCTAAAAATGCTGACAAGCCCTCCAAAAATGGCAAACAAGCAGGTAATCTTAAAGTAGTTTTTAATGCTGAGTTAAGGTAAATAATTTGTATTAATAAGTGCTTTGAAGGCATTTAAAAAACATATTTTCCAGGAAAAAAAGGCTCGGTTATGGTTGAACACTTTAAAAAAAAGGAAAATGATAAAATGATGATCTGCCACTGAAATAAATGTGGCAGCTTGAAATAAAACATTAATAAACATGTTTTAGTTCTTCTCACCCCACAACAAGCCTTTCAATTTACCAGTACTCAAAATGGGGGAAAATAAAGCATTAAAATATAAATAGAAGTTCTATTTTAGCAGCACTCACTGGATTACTGGAGATCACTTTCTTAAAATTTAATTTACTTCCATTTATTTTCCCTCATGTCGTTTCAGACCTTTATGAGTTTCTTTCTTCTGTTGAACATAACGAAAGATATTTTAAAGAATGCTGGTTGCTGGCCATCGATAGACTTCCATAGTAGGACAAAAAAATAAATAAATCCTGACCAGCTCTCTTTAAAATATCTTCAGGAAAAAGCAACTCATACAGCAGAGGGTGTCCAAACTCAGTCCTGGAGGGCCAATGTCCTGCACAGTTTAGCTCCAACTTCTTTTAACACACCTGCCTGGAGGTTTATAGTACACCAAAAAAGAGCTTGATTAGCTGGCTCAGGTGTGTTTAATTGGGGTTGGAACTAAAAATTGCAGGACACCGGCCCTACAGCACAGAGTTTGGACACACCTGTCATACAGGTTTGGAACACATTTTCATTTTGAGAAGAGTCAATCCTTATATCGTTAACCACAACTACTAATAAGATATAAAATGCGATTCATGATTGCTTATGTATCATTTGACAGAAATCCAGCTATCAGGGGAGATCAACATCAAGCTGAAAATGAAGGGTTTTCCCAGTGCTGTGTCATCAGCAGTGTCCATGCCCAACCCCAGGAAGTCTGATGGCTTCGATTACCTTGTTTTCTCCTGGCGTAAGTGACAATATAAGTGTTTTGCAAGGGACAAGACGTGTTATATATATTGCTGACTTGTGTACTTTCATTATTCCAAATGCTTTGCAACCAGAGCGATTTGCACAAATCATACGTTAATAGCCCAAAACACTCAATTTGTGCAATGAAGACGACAACTCCCATGATTCCATACTTAGTCATGCTGTCAAAAAACTGCAACTTTGTGAATACGCACACTGTAGCAACAAAGATGACATACCTAAAAGTGGAGTGTGTTTGTGATATTCAGTTGTGTAATAGTAATGAATCTGATATTAATTGAGTTATGACATTTGAAGTGGCGCATTTATTACCTCCATTTCTGTGCTTTTTACAGCTAAAGTCTTGAACGTCAAGATTAGCGGTGATCTGCCTGCTTTGACTGCTCCTGCCAGCCACTCGTCACAGCAGAATGACATCACCAAGTGGCTCCACTGCGCCTAAAACTCCAGCGATAAACAAACCGCGCCAGCAGCTGCTCTGCGAGAATGATTCTCCATTTATTAGCAAAACATAGCATCAGGATGATTACTCACAAAATATAAAATAACAAATCTAAAGCAATGATTTCAAGCACACTGAAACCAAACATTAAACATAAAACAGCAGTGAGCTGATGGTTTTGAAGAGTCACGGATGTGAGCTCAGTGTTTCTGCCGGGCAGACGCTGGAAATGCAGCTGGATTTAGAAAGGGGAGCCTCTGCTGAGCCCTCGACCCCGACCTCCACGAGGAAAACCTACAAGAAAAAATTAAAACCAAGATATTTTTTTTTCCACAAGTTTTCTCCAAAACAAATCTGAAAGCTTCTGTATGCATTTACAATATTCTCTGCTTCATTAAAACTCAGAAAAGCTTTCAAATGCAGTCTGTGTGGTGTATCTGTACGAGTAAGAGTAGCAGGCTCCACCTACCTCTCCGGATCAGCTGGTTTCTCCGGGGCAGATGGTGCTGAGGAAGCAGACGGCCTGCGGGTTTAGCCTGACCGCTACTGGTGCTAGTGTCTAAAGAAACGTATTGAAATTAGGTCAAATGTGTGATGTCAATAACAAATAAATGTGTCAAAGTACAAAGTCACAAGTAGTTTTTAAATTCATGTTGGCTGCATAAGGTTTAAAACATATTCATTGTTAAGTATTCAACATATTCATTGTTAATAAATATTTTTTATATATATATATATATATATATATATATATATATATATATATATATATATATATATATATATATATATATATATATATATATATATATATATAAACCCCAGGAAGTCTGATAACTTGGATGAGACATATGATATATATATATCCTATGTATATGGATTTTATATATATATATATAAATGATGTTAATCATAATATTGATCATAAAAATGATGTTAAGTTTTTCAGAGAATAATCGCAATAGACTTTTCACATTTTCGGGTTTCTTAGCAGCAGAGAAGTCATTATAGTTGGATAAACTTGAAGCCCACTGAATGGGCCATTTGCTCAGAAATTAAAAGTTAGTCAATAATAGAGTAATCAAGACTTTCAGTGAGAAAAAAGAGGGAGAATACTGTGATACTGATAACAGCAGACAGAAGAGAGAATAACATCAAATTCACTGTCCCGCCCAAAGATGCTGCACGAGAAACATGTTGCATAAGCAGTATTTAGTTTTTTTTTTTTATTTGATGCAACGATGATTTAACACAAAAGTATAGCTTTATAACTGTACATATAATTATTTGAGAGAGAAAAAAAAAACATTATGAAAAAAAACTTCAAGGAATAAAGATGCTGATGACAGTTAAACTAGTCAAAACCAGCTTGTGAATAGGGTCCATTACCATTCCGGCAACCCCACACAATTACTATCCTTATTATTATTTATTTCTAGAACTATAATTAATTTTGCACCCAATATCATGGCTAACACAGGCATTACTGCTATGGTCAAATTCCAAAATAAATACTAATATTAATATTGTATCTTTTCTGCATTTTTTATTTTAAAAATACACACATCTGCATTGTTACTTATTAATCCTGATTATTATTAATGCTACTACTCCTGCTGTTAACACTACTAATACAATTACTATCGTTACTAACAATACCATAACTTATTTCTACCATAACGGTTACTACTACTATTAGCCTTATTCTTACTTCTACTACCATCACTAATATTGACAACTACCATTGTTACAACTATCATTGTTACTATAACTACTACTTCCACTACTGGTACAACAACAACTACTACTGCCACAACAACCACCACCACCACTAATACTACAACCACTACAACAACAACAACAACAACCACCACCACCACCACCACTACTACTACAACAACAACCACTACTACTAATACAAATCACCACTACCACTATTACAACCACCACTACTACTACTACAACAACCACCACCACCACCACTACTACTACAACCACAATCACCACTACCACTATTACAACCACCACCACCATTACTACTACTACAACCAATCACCACTACCACTATTACAACCACCACCACCATTACTACTACTACTACAACAACCACAATCACCACTACCACTAATACCACCACCACCACTACTACTACTACTACTACTACTACTACTACTACAACAACAACCACCACCACTACTACTACTACTACTACTACTACTACTACAACCACCACCGCCGCTGCTGCTGTTACTACTACTACGCAAGTTTATTTATATAGCACATTTTATACACAATGGTATCCCAGTCCCTGTAAAAATTTGAGTCGAAAACTCAATACTTTTTTCTACTCCAACTACTTGTAGCTAATAGTAAAACGTAACAGTAGGTGATGCTTACTTTCATATGTAGCTAATTTATCATATAAGATTTCCTTTTGAAAATATTTATTTTCGGAATGTATTTAGTGGATATCTGGAGAGTTTTATCACAGTTACATAAAATATTTAAAAATAAATGAATAGATGAAAACTGAAAGGAAGCAAACTAAGAATAAAAGCAATATGAGCAACGCTGTGTACCTGCAGAACTAGACGTAGGCTCTTGACTGGTGGAGGGAAGACTGGCATCATCAGCCGGTTGTGCAGAATCTAGCTCCAACTGGCTTTCTAGACACGCTTCACTACTCACCCTGAACACAGACACACACATTACACAACCACATGGAAGACACTCAACCACTCAAGAACAAATCATGAAACTGTAGTAAGTGCCCACCCTTCGCTCTCAGCCTCAGCCACGAACACGTCATCTCCATCATCTCCTGGCACAGCCTCTCCTGGTGCACTCAGGCTGGCGGTGGATGTGCTTACCATGGGCACTGACTGAGAGGCCGTCTCCGAAACATCCGACGGGTGACTTTCGGTGAACACGGTCACTGTCAAGACAAACCCAAGCTTTATACAAACAGTCAGAAGTAAACCAAACATGAGGATAGGGGGCATGAGTTGAGCAGCTGTTCACCTGGAGCGGCCACTTGTAGAGGGGTGGTGGGCACACTCCTGCCTCCAGACTCCTCATCATGAGTGGGCAGGAACAGTGGACTTTCATACATGCCCAGTCCTGCAGGAGACACACAGTTACACACTCAATCTAACAGCTGCATTTCCATTCAAATTATAATATATCGTAAAACATTGATTTTCATCCCATGTCTTTAAGACTACAAAAATCCTGTAACTATGAATTTTTATAAATGAAACTGATTTTCTACAAGCTGAGAAATTTTTTTCCCTCCACAGTAAAACAAGTTGCCCTTCAGAATGGCAATTTATACACAGAAGCAAACTCAGTCATTTTATTTTGGCTATGGAGGCAGTACCTAATGTTTGTGAAAAGGAATGTTCTAGAAGGTAATAATGAATTTAATGATTGATTTTCACTCATTTGCAGAATTAATTAAACGTGAGATTTTTTATGTAGCACTAGTATGTTTTTAGCAATAACCAAATAAAAATAATAAAAAATATTTTATGACAAAACTTGTTACAATTTAAAGTAAAGATCATGTTCCATGACGACAGTAATGCACTTTGCTAAGAACTTCTTTTGGACAGCTTTTAAAATACGATTTTCTCAGCATTTAGTTTTTTTGTTATTTTTCGTTTTTGAACCCTCAGATGTAAGACTTTCAAATTCAGTGATCCCTCGCTATGATGCGGTTCACTTTTCGCAGTCTCTGGGATTTTTTTTTTTGTGCAATTTGACATGCTTTTTTTCTACAGCGCATTGTGTTCTGCGGCCTGATTAGTGCATTGTGTTCTGCGTCCTGACTGGCGGTAGACTGTTGGAATATCTAGCCAATTACATGCGTGTTCAATAAGAAAAGGTCTGGAGAGGGTTTTCTTCAATGCCAAAAATGTTAGTAATTTATTAGATACAAATGAATAATTCGATGACAGAGCTCTGGGTTACGTTACCCTAATGCAATACAAGAATTACATTCAAGAGGTTCGCAACTAACTTACATTTCCTGACTCCAGCATATATACACAACTGATCTTAACAAGTGGAGTTTTGGTTTAACGTCACTTATCAGTCATTCTGCAGTCTCTTGGCTCTTTGTAACCCCTAGACATACTTCCTCTTTCTGCAACCCTTCTCTGCATACCAGAACTGAACAATTATGTGCATCTTTAATATATTTCACAACTTCTACAAAGATCATGACAACTTGTGACATGTTCAGACAGCAGTCTGGAACAACCCTAAATTTATTCTTATTCTGCTTTTTCCACAAGTCAGCAGTTCTACTAAAAAGTATGCAGCACAGTAAAAAAGAGGAAGTGTTTCAGGTCAAATGTGCTATTATACAACAGAAAAATATTGATTAATATGTTGTTAGTCTAAACATTTTTCTAATAAAAAATAAAGACACAAAAGTATTAAAAATAAATTCATTTTTTCCTACAAGACCATTGTCAATCAATCTTCCCTGTGCCATGTCGCCTGTACATTACAGAATGTGTTCAGTTTGCCAAATTTACATAAATCTTTGATGGCTATCAGTGTGACTCTGAAGTGCTGTATTGAATGTTTGCACGTTTTCTCCCCAAAATGTTGACAAAACGCTCTGCACAGTCAAAGGAACCTACAGTAACATCCAAAATGCAGACGAAGATGCTAATTTTTGGACATGGTAAAGGTAGAGGTTACGCAGCTTTAGGGCGCCATTATTGAATAAATAAATGAAGATCAAATGGTTTTGATCTTTTGGTTTCATTCTATAATATTGGACTTATTTCTCTACAAAGGTTCATCTATAATCATTTTTAAAAGATAAAGCGAACAACTTTGCAGATTTCGCCTATTGCAGGTTATTTTTAGAAAGTAACTTTCGTGAATAACAAGGGACTAATGTAGCTGAATCCTGGCCAAATATTGTCCTTTTCCAACAAACGAAACAATGAGAAGTTATTTATATTAAATGTGTGCATTATATAATAAAAAGTATTCAAAATAGAATTTTAATTATACTTTTTTATATATGTGCTATCAGTCACCACTATCCAAAAGGTCAAGTAGCGCAGCATTTCTTAGTTCTGATACATTTAGTTTCTACTCTACAATATACACTAGGGGTGTCAAAATTAATAATTTTTTCGATGCACCACAATGCAGACGTGGACAATTTGGTATTGGTACATTAATAGATCATCAACAGTTATTACGTACTGACTACATTTATCTCGTATGCGCTATGTAGAATACCAATTGATCGAGGCGAGGTCGAGTAATTAAAATGCTCTAACTAACTAAAAAGCAGATAACTGCACAATTCACTGCATGAGAGTTTACTGTACAGTGGTTTGCTGACACTGAAGCACAGTAGAACCAGGAAACACTTTTATTTCTAGGGAGAAAATGAAAGCACTCTCTCTCTCTCTCTAAACTCTCAATTTGGACATTTGAACTGCTGGCATGTTTGTACTGTAACTTTTCCTCTCCTCTATTGCTATTAAAGCGACACTTGTGGACCCTGACATGAGTGTGTCTGCACAGCAAGTTTTCTCTAAGGCATCTAATATGGATCAGCTTTGATAGCTGCACAAAATGCACTTTATTACACGCATATAGACTGTTCCCACGCATTCTTCACTGTCCACGTTACTCATCGGTATACAGTGTTGCCAATTTTAGAGCCAATCGCAGCCCTCTCTGTTGAGCATGTGAACATAATGTCCAATCATAGGGATGTAAGAACACTCTCAACAATGCTCAAAAAGCAAGTGGAATAATATTTACATTTGTTTATTTGCTATAAATGCTCATGTTTTTCTATGATTGTACTTAAGTTTTGTTTGAAACATTTAAAAAGAGTGTTTTTTTGAGTGACTAATTTGTTCTTTTTGATTTGTTGGAAGAAGATTGCACTTTATTTACAAATGTTTTATGTGATATTCCTGTTTTGTACATAAATCTTATTCACATCTTTGAAAACATAGCTAGCGTGTCTGAGCTCACCTCCATGTGTGGCCAGATGGCTCAGGTCAGAATGAGAAGAGCTGGCCTGAGGCATCATGTCCTCTGGGGGGCCGAAACGGAAGCGAGGAACTCCAGCCACCTGAGGGGAACTGAGACAGAGAGATGCATCATATATCTGATGTTTATTTCATTTAATAAACTTCATTTAATAAAAGGCTGAACGGCTGCGGTGACTCACTGAATGGCCTCCGCAAAGCCATCTGTGCGGTGTGGCACCACAAGAGTGGGAGTGCTGGGAACCATTCTGTCATCGTCATCAAAGAAGTGTTGCTATGAAAAGCAAAACATTTGTGGTTGGAAGCACTCACTCACTCAATGTGAAGGATGTTTATAGAGGCTAATGCATAAGTTTGCTCACCATGCTTCCAATACCGGGCGTAAGCTGCGGTGCGCGACTCATTGATGGTCGTCTGCTCTGTCCAGACTGCCTCTGTGGAAGATGATAATAGCGTGATCAGAAAATTGGTGTTATGTGAATTATGTAGTCAGAATTAATTAGAAGTTTTCTTTCTCTTCAGTATTTCCTATTTTTTCTTCTGGAGAAACTTCTTATTTATTTAATTTCAGCTAGGATAAAAGCTGTTTTTTTATTTTTAAACCATTGTAAGGTCAATATTATTAGCCCCCATAAGCAATATTTTTCTATTCAACAAAATATTGATATACAATGAGTTGCCTAATGACTCCTACTTACCTAGTAAAGCCTTTAAATATGACTTTAAGCTGAATATGAATACTAGTAAAATATTATGTACTGCCATCATGGCAAAGGTAAAAGATCAATTATTTCTTGTCAGATTAGTCCCTTTATTAATCCGGGGTCGCCACAGCGGAGTGAACCGCCAACTTATCCAGCAAGTTTTTACGCAGCGTATGCCCTTCCAACCGCAACCCATCTCTGAGAAACATCCACACACACATTCACACACACACTCATGCACTACGGACAATTTAGCCTACCCAATTCACCTGTACCACATGTCTTTGGACTGTGGGGGAAACCGAAGCACCCAGAGGAAACCCACACGAAGGCAGGGAAAACATGCAAACTCCACACAGAAACGCCAACCAGCGACCCAGCGACCTTCTTGCTGTGAGGCGACAGCACTACCTACTGCACCACTGTCTCGCCCCGTAAATGTTTAGAAAAGATGTTGAAAAAGAATCTTCTCCTCAAACAGCCCTCCCTTTTTTTCTCAATTTTTCCACCATTTGTAATGATTTGTAATAATTACTAAAAAAAGATATTTTTTTGAGTTTATCACTTAACTATAGTAAGTGTATTAAGTAAAAAATAAAACAAAATAAAAAACGGCACAGTATCGGGATTGGATCTGTATCAGTAAATACTCAGAACTTTGATATTGAGATCGGATAGGTTTTTAAAAAAATGGTCTCGGCACATCCCTATTTTTCAGTAGCTACAGTGCAAAAAAATCTAATGATAGACGTTTGCTTCTTATTCAGGACTCTCTATGCTAATGAGGAAGAGGTCATCACTAATGGATGGAACTTCTCCCTACAATGACATGTACACAAAGGGAAAATGTCAATCAAAGTGTTTCTGCAGTATAAATCAAGGGTGATTAGAATGAATACATTTTTACCATTAGAAGCTGGCTATTTTCAAACACTGTTGCCACACAACTGTGTTTAAACCCCTTACTACCCTGGATTGTAGCACCCCAAAGAAACAGACTACTGTGCTATTAATAGATTTTTTATTCTTGTTAATCTACTGGATTAGCTGGCCAAGGTTTTATTTTTTATTATTGTAAATTTACTTATATTTGTAGATTTACACTGAAAACTTTTAATATATTGTTATCAATAAATAAATATGCCATCCAAAATGCTAAAATTGCTTCAAGCGCTGGCTCATTTTTAAAGTACAGATTGGGCACCAGTATTGTACAAAAATTAAATGATAAACAACCCAGCATGTGACTGGTTTAGCATCAGACACGTTGTGTAGTTCATACCTGCATGATAGGAGGTCCAAGTTCAGGGACAGGGTGGATATTAAGACGAGGTGGAGGGGTGTGATGTGGTCTACGGGGGGATTGGGGCAGACGCGGGGCGAGGGAGGTGGTGGTAGTGCTGGGCAGCGGCGGGTGCTCTCTTACAGGCTCAAGAGGGAAGGCCTCCAGGGTGCTGACACTAGCTTCACCTGAAAACACAGAGAGAAAAGTTACTCTTTCAGTATTCATAGAGACAATGACCTGTCAGTTATGTAGAAAGTGGTCATATTATGTACGATCTAGTCTTTACTGCATACATATTTTTTTCATAATGGAAGGCTGGACTAAATAATGTCAGAATTGCTTGAGATCGAAATGAATTAAAAGTGTTGCTGTACAGCCAATCAAATTGCCATGTGGACTAGGTGGACTATTGTCTGTGAATGTTAAGACTATTTGAAAATACAAGTATAAAGTGTGTTCTGTTGGTGTGAATGAATTCATTTATGACTCAAGCATGCATGTGTTGTTTTTAGCATCTGCTCAAAAATCTCATTTAAAAAATATTATTCCCATTTTAATGTTGAATTAAAAAATGTAGCGGATTTTGCCTATTGCAGGTTATTTTTAGAACATAACACCCACAAAAATGAGGGACCACTGTAGTTGAATCCTGGCCAAATATTCTCTTATTTCAACAAACAAAACAATCAAAAGTTATTTATTAACGTGTGTTCATTATATAATAAATATAATTAAAAAAAAAACTTTGTAATTATATGTGCTATCAGCCACCACAATCCAAAAGGTCAGGCAGCAAATCAGTTCCCATTTTAATGTAGAATTGAAGAAAAAGATTTAGATGTTAATGAAATATGTCTCGTTTAATCAGTAAGCATGAGAGAGAAAAGAATCCTCACTGCTCTGAGAGTCTGGTTGCTTCTGGGTTGAATCAGATGCCTCTTGACTCTCTTCATTGTGAACACTTGGATCAGCTTCCCCGGCACCCTGCTAACAAACCATAACCACCAAAGAACATAAAAAAGTCAAGAAACAGTCAACAGTTTTTTTATTTTTATTTTTTATTTTTAATCTTAAAATCGATAGCTAGCACTTTAGTAACACTTTACTTAAAAGTGGGTCTTCAAAAGTGCCATGAATAGGAAAGAGATTTTATGCATTCTTATGACAACTGTCATTAAGTGCCATTCACTTAGGTTTAGATTACATTGTTTTTGTCATATCAACTTCACAACCTATGTCTTGGCATTACCATTGCAACATAATTTGTCATAAATCGGTCATAAACATGATTGTCATGAGGTCATTATAACAGCTTAATAAATATTTTATTTTAATGACCAATTAAACTTGTACCAGTGTAGTTGAGGTCAAGAAAAATATTAATGATGCGGGTATAAAATTAATGAGATAATTATAGTAGCCTCATGGCAATCATGTTTATGACAGATTTATGAAAATTTATGCTGTCTTGATAATATCAAGTTGACAAAGACACTGATAGTCTTTGCTATCTTGGTAATGTCAAGCTGTCATGATAAAGAAAAAAACAGGTTGTGATGCATTTGGCTATGTCCATTTGTCAAGGACATCTCAAATAATATTACCTTTGCATTTAAAATGACACAACTGAGTAAATGACACTTAACGTCATGCATGTCAACATTGGTGTGTGAAAATAAGGAATTTTATGTTTATTGCCACCATTCATAGAAAGACTAAAAATGTAGGTGAAATACCTTTATGGGAAAAATAGGAGGATAGACAAGTATGCCTGATGACAAACATGGCTTGTTATATTATGATTGTAAATGTTTCAAGTGTGTCTTATGAACACCCCTTCCAGTAAAATGTTACCACAATTTAAAAATCAGCTCATTTAGAATTAACAGAGATGCAATGTTTGGACGATAAACTATTCAGCTCTACTAGATACTGTAGTAAATTAGTATCCCATACTGGCAAACAATATTATAGCAACAATCTTTGTTGGTTTGCATGGCCTGATGTAGTGGTTGCCAACCTGTCACCAATCTTTATCACTCTACCAGTGGATCCTGAATATGACTGAAGAATTAATATAAGAAATGTATGTACTAATAGGGAACAGCTTGCATTGCAACACGTTCATATTTTACACACGTACAGGGCATTAAGTTGAGAAAAAAAAAACTAAATTTTTTTTTAATAAACAGCTAAAATGCAAGCCACATCAGCAGCATGTAAAACTCTGCTAAAAGTAAACAAAAAAGGCAGCCATCAAACTGAAACACGTTCAGTGAGATTGAGCTAAAAGCTCCCATAATAAAACCTAGTTGCATTCAGCAGTTTGACTTCTTATAACTTTGTGAATTGATGCTGCAAAACATTTATAAAACCACATATAATTGCTAAATTATTTTATGATGTGGTAGTATATTCAGGGCCCAAGCCCAAAGGGCCTAAGTCCCTGTTGTTCTAAAGATAACTATTTTTTTTATTTAGGTTTTGGGAATTTTGGGGGCCCTTAACATGCTCAAAAGCTCTTAAAACTTTAATCATAAATAATTTGTGGTTGCTTACAAACATTGATTACTGGCAGGTTAAATGTTTATGCCTGCAGTGTACTGTTCATAAAGCCACAGAGGCTTGGGCCCCTCAATGCTGCTTGCAGCTTTAGTTATTATTGTTGGAGGCCCCAAGTTGTTATTACCGGTAGTAGAATTGTATTACAGCTCATTTATAAAATGCTAATGTAGTAGGCTTCGTACAGAAGTGTCATTACAAATTGTTTAACAATCTGTTTTAATCAGTTTAAAGCCGCCTTATATGATCTGATTATTGCTAAAGTAACAGTGCATTGTCACCCAAATTCCCACCCCTCCAAATGTAATCCAGGTGGATCCTCAGATTTTCTTGGTTGCATCAATTAAAAAGTTATAAGTAGGTTAAACTAGTGCTTTTACATAGTTCAAAAATGTTCTTAAGCTGGAAATTCAAATAAAAGAATGTGGCTTTATTTGTGTCAAGCATTTTTTTTTTTTTTGATGGGTAGACCCGGGGTTAAAGATATTGGGCTAAAAATAAAGTTGGCAATCCCTGGCCTAGAATGTTAAAAATGAAGTCACCTCTGCCTCATCCCCCTCATAAGCCTCATTGGCATCTGCACTCCCACTGCCTTCATTACTCTCCTCTGCTGCTTCAGCCATTCCTCCATCCCCATCTTCATCATCCTCATCTTCTGCGTCATCGTCCTCATCCTCATCATCATCTTCATACTGTAGACAGAAGAAAGGTTAATAATAGACCAATTACCAACCTACGTCACACATGACGTCATACGGGTCCCCGGTTGCAGAAAACAGACAGGATGCAATGGGAAAGATAACGTGTTTTGCGGTAGGATGCCGAATTCGAGTCCAAAAATAGAAAACTTAACTTTTACCATACACCACACTCTGCTTTAATACCGACTGCAGACGTCTTTGGCTAAATGGGAGCTGAATGAAGTGAGCAGCTAATTAGAAATGCTAGACTGCAGTTCTCATGTCATATCAGGACAGTTCACGCTATGCTGAATCATACACATCACTCGTTTTTAATTGCAGAAATTATTTCAGCAAAAACAGTTACATATGGTTAATTAAACTGCTGACGCTGAATGCTAAGAATGAAACGTGAAGGTTACGTTTATTAAGGTAAACTTAGTTTTATATTCACACATTCATTCAGTGACAACTTTTGTTTACCACGGCACTTTGAATATTCTGTCTGAAATAACCTGCAAGTGTGACTTGAAAACAACATTAGCATTGTTTATTTGACTGTGAATAATGTTGTACTTTGATAGTCATCGGCTGTTGCTAATATGATTTCGCTATTTAGAGTTTGCAAATAATATTTTTATGAAATTATATTATTAAGAGGAGAAAGTCTGAATGTGTGAATATAAAACCAACTTTACCTTTATGTGTAGGTTCACATACCCTGCCGTACAGGTGAAGTTCACTGTCAGACTGCAGTCGTTTTGCATGTCGGTGATTAATTACCCATTAATTACGTTAGCTCCGTCTTGTTTCCTTGTCTTTGGCTAGGCGGAATCTCAGTGCTTAGCTCTTGAATCTGGTCATCATGGAGCAATATTTATTGCACATGACCTTAAAGAACAGCATTGTTGGCATCCAAAGACTTGTAGACCTTTAACTTCTCTCTTGTAAAATCACTCGGAGCTTCATTGAGATTGTATATTTCGGGCTGGATGCTTGGTCACTTCGTCTTATCCAATATTCATTGGGAGGGTGCTATCGCAAATGGAGCTGTCAGATGAACGCCGCTCACTTTAACGTTAATTTTGCTGAATCACTGTGCTTGTCACTGGGTGACGAGCTGTTATAATATGCTGTAAGCATTATGTAAATAATATATATATATAATATGTAAGTAATATATCTTATTTCTAAGACAACAACAAACTCTGCACCGCATCTGGTGTCATTCCCTCGCTGTAAATGCTGGCGCTCCCGGTTGCTTTCTGCCACCTCCCTGCGCGCGCATCCTGAATGTTTACAAACATGGTAATTGGTCTATACATGCTGCTAATGACTTTGATCCTACTTCTCAGGAAAACACACTGACCTGTCCAGGTTCTTCCTGCTCCTCTTCCTCTTCCTCCTCCTCCTCAGTGGCGCTGTCTGTTTCGATGACGATTACATCATGCTTGTACTCTTCTGATGAGTCCTGTCCACTGATCTGAGACTCAGAGGGTTGAGACTCACTCACCTGATCCATGGGGGCAGACAATGATTCTTCATCCCCCTCTCCTAATACGGGATAGGCTTCCTGTGAGGGATGATATCATCAGTGCACCAGTTGTCTATGGTTTGGATGAATCCTTACATTTATTATAAGGTGTTATTGAAAAGTGAAAGGGTTAATACCTCACTGGCATCAGGAGGCTGCTGAACGTCTCCTGAAGATTCACCCATAGCATCATTACTCTCCTCAGTACCTGAAGCATCCTGGGAAAAAAAGAACATTGATAGAAAATAGTGTAAAACAATCACAGTCTTCAGAATGGCCATGCACTACATGGAATAATCAAAGGGTTTCATTTCTGCACTGCAAATCCAGCTTTTACAGGAGTGAAATTGTATTTTACACAGGTTGTGAAAGGCTGTGTAACCAAAAATATAAGGGACTCAATCAAATTACTGAAACTGACAGGGCCAATAAAAAAAAAAACATTTTAAACTCATATTTACCTTTTAATCCTTCTAAAAATCCAAACCCAAGTTATTTTAGTAAATGGAAAATAAAACTATGGGTCAAAACCCATTTATGTTAACAGAAATAAAATGCTAATAATAAAAATTACCAGTAGATCAGTCAAGCACATGGTTATGTATAAAAACATATTTTCTATCTAGACATAAAACAGATGTTCTAACTAGGGGTACACCGATCAGGATCTTTGAAGCCGATACAGAGTAACTATTCCTTGTCATGGTGATCGGCAGATACAGAGTACCGGTTCTGATGCTTCAAGCTTTAATGCATAAAGCGCATTTTCAGTCCAAGTATGACATGTAAGCTTAAGATACCATTTAGTGTGGATTTGTCATGGTCAGAAGCAACTTAACAGAACAAAATAGATTAAAAAGACAAAAAAAAAAACATCAAGAAAAATCACTAATAAAGCAAATTTGGAAACATTGCAAATGATGGAAGAATTCAACATGTCTCAATGAAGTTTGGCGCGCATATTCAATGCATAAGGAGTTAAAATGCATACCTATAAGGATGTAGCTCCATAAACTATTGCTTATTATAATACTTAAATTACAATAAGTTATATTATTATATATTCAAGTTAAAAAAAAGTTTTATTTTTATTTCCCTAATATTTCCAGCCAGGATTTAATGAACTTGCAATATTGTTGAAAACACAGGACATTCAGTTCTAATATGTAAAAAAGATTTCAGTTTGAGTGTGTCTTTTGCTTGTAAACTTGTAAAAATACAATTGTGACAATGCTTCATGAGATCGGCCAGATTAGTGTGTACCAATCGAGTCATGAAATGCATCGCTAGTTCTAACTATTTTTCAAGTGCCAAAAAAGTAAACTTGGCATAATCTTTAACATGAATAAGTTTGTCTGAATTCCACATAATTTTTCCTTTTATATGTTTAAGCTGCATTAGTATGGTTTTCAGTTCAGTGTCTGTTCAAACTATTACTTTACAGAGCTTTGCACTAGAGTTAATGTAAGCTGTGCAGACGTCAAACTTTGCTCTACTCGACACTGAACTCGGAAAACTGAAATAAATGCATAAAAAGACAGCAATGCGTTCACAAAATGAAATCTAAACTAATACTAACAAAACCATCAATGAAATAAACTAAAAAGAAAAAGAAATTTAAAGCAAATAAATGAATAAATATAATGAATAAATATATTTTTATTATAATTTAGTTGTCAGTTACACTATTTTTAGTCTTTGTGCATGTATATTCATGTTTGCCAACAAAATTAATTGATGAAATTGTGTGAGATTTGGCAAGGAGGCCAAACAAATTTTACTGAAAAGTATTTGAAAGAAATTTCACAGCCAAAATGAACACAATTGCAATTTGGAATTCGCAGATCTGAGTTAATTTTGTAATAAACCAACTCCAGCACAGTGACAAGTACACAAGTATGTACACTGCTTACCTCCAGACCCACTCTTCTTACAATGCGGAGCTTCTTCATGATGGGTGGATGTGTAGAGTCATCCTGTGTGGTGTCCGTCACCTCAGTGGAGCTCTCCTCATGCTCCTCTCGCACTCGCTTGGCCACCGAAGAACCCGTTGTTGCAGAAACTGACAAAGAAATGGTACATCACTTTAAAACACAAAGTAAGGTCACCCTAAATCATAAAACCTCATACTAGGCAATCTTCATTTACAAGAATATGCTAAATATTTACAATATTTTATGAATATCACGCAATGAAAGTGTTTCCATTAACTGAGGGAAAAACAAAAACAATATTCACCCTTTCATTATAAAAACCATGGCGACATATAGATAGATTTACATATGTTATAGCCAATGCACCAGCCATTACATTATACTCATATAGTTTTCAAATGAGACTGAGACGAGCGTTAAATATCATTTCAGCATCGATATCGCAATGTGATCATTCACAATAGTAATGTCACAGGATATTTAATGTTAACCCTGAATTATAGATCATCACGTGTATGGATTTTTGATTTTAAAAGCATTCAGACATAAGAAACTGTATAGTTTTCTAACTTTAATGACAACTTATTTTATGTAATTATTTATAGAATGAATATTATATACTATTATTTTACATGCGATTATTCATTTTACTGTATCTGAATACTGTACGACACCTCAGAAAACCATAACACGCAGTTTATTTCATTTGTATCTTTTTTAATGCGTTTATTTATGCTTGTGTATTTTATGCAGATGCCCTTCATGGAACATCCCTATTTGGAAAGAATTGAAGTCATCTGGTGAAATTGTATTCATATCGCAGTATATATTGCAGAAAAACTAAATATTGCAATGTCAGATTTTTCCAATATTGTGCAGCCCTAATAGCCAGGCAAAATACTGTACTTTGGAGCGGCCACATTCAAGATGAAAAGATCCATTTTTTTTTTTAGATCTTTTGAAAGGTTTGGAGCCTCCTGCAGCACATGTAGCATCAATACCAAGAAAGCCAGTTCTACAAATAAAAGCATAGCCATGTCTTTTTCGAATGCTCATGTGACTTTTAATAATTAATTAATTACTAATTTACTAGTAAATGTGATGGGAGTGTCCACTGTTTTGTGAAATATTGCTTTTTGAAATTGCTTGGAAAAAATAAACACATTAAGCAAGCGTAAATCTTTTAGCAATATATTGCAATATTTGTGTTGTTACTATAACATTTATTTTACAATTAGGCACATTTTAAAGTTAAACATTTCAACTTGGGCTATCTGAAAGGTAAAATAAATAGTTTTCTTTATAAATTAATTAATAAATAAATAAATAAATAAATAAATAAAATCAAACTCACAATTTTCTTTATCTATTTAGCTACCAGTTAGGCCATTTCTGACATGGGTCAAAAAGCCATTTTAGTAAGACAACGTGTATATTAAGTGTAAATGGGGTTTAATTGCATCCGACATCAACAATAAATGTTTGTGATCTCTACTTGGTTGTTTGTACCTGTACCAAAGACAGCGGTGGAGGTGGAGGGCCTCTCCATCTGAGAGCTATGCACCGCTTCCATAATGCTGGTTGCTGGTTCCTGGCTGGCCTGCTGCTGAGTGGGCTGGACGAAGGCAGTGGCTTGGCTCTGCTGCAGGCTGAGGATTGGCTGTGTGGTCTGTATGTTTGGGCTGGTGGAGCGCACTGAGCCACTGGTGCTGCCAAACACAGTCACATGCTCCAGCGGACCCTCTGTGGATTGTAGAGCTGATGGGACAAACCAAAGACAAATTTGCATTTCATTAAATCAATTTCTAACATTTCATCAAACCAGATTTCAACCGACTTTCAGCCTTACCTTCCTGCGTTTCAACCTGTGTGGTGGGCATGACTGTGGCTGTGGGTGTGGTAACAGGAGCAGGCGTTATCATTGGACGGATGCTTGCTTTAGGAGTGGACTTGCTGCCTGCGATTGGTGAAGGCTTGCTAGGGGTGGCGGCAACTAACGTGGGCTTGATGTTGGCAGTGGGTGGTTCAGACTGACTTGCACTTTTAATAGAAGAAATTTGGAAAAAAGAATAAACAACACTGGAACAAAAGATGCATTTTACTTTAAAGTTAAATTTATATGGATTATTTTACCGCTTTAAGTTAAAAATACAATAATAGCACAAACATAAAAGTTCCTTTGTATATAAAAAAAAAATTAAAATGATATCTTAAACATTATATCTAGTAGTGAACATTCGAAATGAATCAAATTCCATCAAGTTGTCTTGAGACAAGAATGGGTATTGTTCAATACAGATATTGGTTTAAGTACAACTTTGATGAAAGTTTCTGATCCACTGCAAATGTAGACTAAGTTATATACACTCATCGGCCACTTTATTAGGTACATTTGTCCAACTGCTCGTTAATGTAAATTTCAAATGGGCCAATAACATGGCAGCAACTCAATGCATTTAGACATAGTCGAGATGACCTGCTGCAGTTCAAACTGAGCATCAGAATTTAAAAGAAAGGTGATTTAAGGTACTTTGAACGTGGCATGGTTGTTGATGCCAGACAGCTGGTGAGTATTTCAGAAATTGCTAATCTACTGGGATTTTCACGCACAACCATCTCTAGGGTTTGCAGAGAATGGTCCGAAAAAGAGAAAATATCCAGTGAGCGGAAGTTCTGTGCATAAATGCTTTGTTGATGCCTTAGGTCCGAGGAGAATGGCCAGACTGGTTCCAGTTGATAGTTAGGCAACAGTAATTCAATCATTACAACCAAGGTATGCAGAAGAGAAACACTGAATGAACAACACGTCAAACCTTGAGGCGAATGGGCTACAGCAGCAGAAGACTGCTGACTGCTAAGTGGTGTAATGGTGTGGGGGATACTTTGCACAGATGGGGCCCTTTAGCACCAATTGAGCATTGTGTCAAGCCAGTCTACCCAAGTATTGTTGTTGACCATCTCTATCCCTTTATGACCACAGTGTACCCATCTTCTGATGGCTACTTTCAGCAGGATAACACACCATGTCATAAAGCGCGAATCATCTCAGACTGTTTTTTTGAACATGACAATGAGTTCACTGTACTCAAATGACCTCCTCAGTCACCATATCTCAATCCAATAAAGTCCGTTTGAGATGTGGTAGAATAGGAGATTTGCATTATGGATGTGCAGCCAACAAAATCAGCAGCAACTGCGTGATGCTATCATGTCAATATGGACTAAAATCTCTGAGGAAAATTTCCAGTACCTTCTTGAATCTATTCCACGAAGGATTCAGACAGTAATACCCAGCACTAGTAAGGTGTACCTAATAAAGTGGCCAGCGGGTGTATAATATGCATGCAATAATTTGCATATATGGTAAATTACCTTCCTCTGTCAGCAGCAGGCGTAGGCTTGAGTGTGATCTGACGAGCATCTGATGACCTCGGTGCCTCTTGAACCTGGAAAAAAAATAAAAACTACTTTTATCAATAAAAAAAGGACAAATACTTGAACTTGACCGTTTATTTATTGCCACATCAGCAACTTATGGATATTCCATGAAAAAAAAAAAAAAAAAAAAAATTCAATACACCTAAAACATTTCAAGATAAGAAAATCTTCATATTTTCAATAAGAGATGATACACAAACAAATATATAAATAGAAATAAATAAAATTTACCTGTTAAATACATTCTAGTTCAATATTTGATAAATAACTTTTTTTCTAGCGGTACCATTTTAAAAACATCCAAAATGTCTTTATTTTAAGAATTTTGTCTAATGGTACTTAAACGTTCACATTCTAATAAAATGTGTTTTATTGTTAGAGCAGCTTGACAGTAATTACATGTTGGAGGTGCATCATTTTTCAATAACGATTAAATATTAATGCAAATAGCAGAAAGTGCTGCTTGTGGTCCTTTACCTTGCTCTGGCCAGGCTCCTGAGCTTCATCTCTCTGTTCTCCATGTCTCTCCTGCTGTTCACGAAGTTCCCTCAGCTCTCGTTCTTGTCGGCTAAGTCGACCTTCATATTGAGACTTCAGTGCACTCATCCTCACCTCCAGCTCCTCTCGCTGCAGCTTCAGCTCCTCGTTTTCTTTCGCCAGCTGCTCCTTTGCACCTAAAACAGACACCGGTGCATTTACATTGCCACTGCAGCCCTGACTTTACTTTTTTAGTGCAAAAGAACTAATTCAGAAATCATTATAATATGCTGACTTTGTTTCAAGAAACACTTATTTTAAATGTTTTTGCTTTTCCAAAAAATCATCATATCACTCGGCTCATAAGATTTTTCTGGACTGAACACCAATAAACTTTAAAAACTCATCTGTTTATGCAGAGGCTGATATTAATTCCTTGTCTGTGTTTTCACACACATATCAGAGAACAGTATCAATGCATTCTATTGCACTTTTAAATAAGTGTCATGATTTAACGGAAAGTCTAAATTGAGTTGGCCCACGGGGTCAAACATTTGCAGGATTAATGCACTAGTCAAATGTTCTGATTTACTAACTGTTGAGCTGGTTGAGCTTCTGTTTGGCCCCCAAGAAGGCTTTCTTGGTCTTCTCCTCTTTATCAGCGATCTGCTGTCGGAGCTGCTCCTCCAGTTTGCCCTTCTCCTGCAGTTCTGCTTTTAGACGGCTGAGCTCAGGCTGCACTTGTGTCAGCTGTTCCTGTAGGCTCTTCACCTCTGCTTCACGCTCCTGCAACGTCTGCACACACCAACATCAACACGTTTTAATATGCTGATAAACAACAAAGAACCTTACAACTACAAACTCCTCCAACTGTTTTCCGAAAAGCCCAATAAAGCAAAACAAGAACACCAGTCTCACTCCATCAAAATAACTTCACACTGCACTGTCTCAAAAGTAAATGAGCAAACAACACTCAATTACTCTCCTGCTTTCTGGATTAAAGACTTTATTACCATTATATAATGTGAACTAAACCAGAGAAACTCACAATGGCATTGTCTGTGATTGTGTACTGTGTTTTACAACACAAGACCAGATGTGCCAGCACTCTGAGGGTTTAAACAGATGTGGCTCTGTACAAGTAATCATGGCAAGGAAGTTTTACTTCTATGGGAGTTTTATGTTCTATATGACTTCTATGTTCTATAATGTTTATTTTTTAAATGAGATGGTAAAGGGTTTGTTCATACATAGTTTCATTTAGTAGTTTATTTGAGCATAAATACGGATCATTGTTAAAAAAAGACAACACAGCAAGTGTTAAATTGGTGCTTAACCATACGTGCTTAACATTAGACCAGTCAAAGTCAGGTTTCTTCTAGAGTGAAAAGTATGGTTGAGCAGTCATTTATTAGATTATTTCAAGCGATTGTGTCTTTTCAGTCTTGGATTAAACTACTGAATTAATGTGGATAACTTTTATATTTGAATTGTATTGTTAAAGTATTTATAGTCCCTTTGAATGAAAAGGACATAAATCCTCTGAAATTTTCATTTGTTCTTAAAAAAGATAGCAAGGAAGAATTTAAGGAACCCTCCACTTTTTTTTTTTTTTTTACAAATCCCAAAGAGTTTTAACCCAACCTCCGGGTCTGGCAGAAGCACTTTTAGCTTAACATAGATCATTAAATCAGATTTGACCTGTAGCATCATGGAATCGAGTCTGGCCTTGATTTATGAATAAGCATCTAGAAGAACAACTGCCTTATGTGAAATCCTTTGTTTTTTTGTTTGTTTTTTTTAACCGTTGAGTTTTTTAAAAATCTATACGGTTTTTCAAGTATTTTAAAGTAAACTGTTCTTTATTTTTGTTGTATATGGAGTTCTGCATACTCATATATATATATATATATATATATATATATATATATATATATATATATATATATATATATATATATATATATATATATATATATTTTATAACTGTACTAAAAGTAAACATGTTCATGAGTGTCCTCCAAATTTATCTACAATCTAATCATACTAAATTCTAATTCTATTAACTCTGCAACTGTACGGCTTAATTAATTTTTTACCACTTTTTTATCATGACATTTACTTTTTTTTTATACTTTTAGTATAAACAGCCTCATCCATTTGGTGATGTACATGCACAGTCAGTGGATGCTTGTTCTGCAGAGCCAGACAAAAGCATAAATAAAGTTTTATGGGTTTGGAAAGATAAACACTGTTATGTTCATGTACTTGAATAAACAAACTCCAGCCAGCACCAATAGAGGCTTTCTGTTTTTATAAAGCAAAAATCACTTGACTAGACTTGAGAGCAGCACAATAAGCCTTAAAGAGCCCGTATTATGGGTTTTTGAAAATGACCTTCCATGCTGTGTGCAAACACGGCTCTAAGTAAATGAAAACATCCAGCTGATGTTTAAATCTACTGCTTCAACAATGTTGATAAATGTAGCAGGTGCTTCTCTCGGTGTTGCGCTGAATGCAGTTAACCAAATTGCAACAGACTGGGTCATCAGACCAATCAGTGCAGATTAGCATTGGGCTAAGGAGGGATTTTTGGAACCAATGAATCGCTGAACAAATCATATTAGAGTTGTTAGGAAAATAAATAAATAAAAATAAATGCATATTATAGGACAATGAAAGTGTTTCTGACCTGCATGCATATAAGAATAAGCCCAAAACCAAAATATGATCTTTTTTATGCATAATAGGGGCTCTTTAAATGAAAGAGTACCTTCTGTATGCAGTCCAGCTGAGTTTCCAGCTCTGAGGTTCGATTCTGTGTCTGACTCAATGAGCTCTTCAGGTTCTGAATCTCCTGCACTGAGGCCTGACGGTCTTCCTGCTCCTGGGCTGGTTTAGAAGCAGCCTCTGCCACCATCTGTCCAATTCATGAGACACTGATTAATACAGGATTTCTTTAATAGGATAAAAAATAATAATTGACATGTTGTTGTATACCTTATCATGCTGTTCTTTGAGCTCTTCATACTGGGTTTTGTAGCGACGGCCGATTTTCTTGACCTGCGTGATGGTTTTGACTTTCTCCTGGATGTCCAGTGTTTTTGCCTCCAGCTCCTTCTTCAGACTGTCTCGTTCAGTGGTGACCTTCCCCAGACTGTCTTGCAGGTTCTGCACTTGGCTCTGAGCCGTGGTGATTGAAGCTTGGCTCCTGTTTGGTACGTAGAGAATATTAAAAACCTCTATTAAGAGCAAAAACAGCTTTTAAAGTTTATAATTCAATCAATTTGCACACTGACCGGGCCACCTCATTCTTCAGTTTGCCAGTCTCCTCTGTGAGCTGCTGGATGCGTTTAAGATGAGTCTCTCTCTCAGAATGAAGCTTCTTGCTTTCCTCCTGATCGCTGTCCTTCTGCTGATTCAAGAGTTGCTGCACAACCAACCAAATCAGTTCAATATGGTAAAGAAGACCAGCAGTCAAGTTTAAACATGTCTCAAGATTGTTACATTCATTATACAGAAGAGTGAGATTGAGAGACCTGTGTGCGAGACTTCAAGCGCTTGACATCCTCCTCCAGAAGCCTCTTCTCAGCCTGTAACATGCCACTCTTCTCACTCAGCTCACCATTGGCCTCCTGCAGAGGCTTGATGTCTGCTTCGAGCTTACGCATCTACAATATACAACATTGACATGACAGTCCATGTGCTTAGTGTACACTTCGTGTTAAATGTGTTATTCTTTTTTGTAACCCTAATTGTTAACTCTAAACTCTGATTACTCTGATATATGTTTAATGCAAAAAAAAATAAAAATAACACATTACACAAGTATATAATCAATATACTTAAAGCAAAAAATAAACAAAAATAATCAAATCAATTGACTTCTATTTCACATATTTTAGGTTGGAAGTAGCCCATGGCTCAGCTAATGAACTGTCACTTATGAGTAGGGCCAGAAGAAAAGAAAAAAAAAGAAGAAAATCTGTGAAATTATGCAGAATGGTTTTGAGTGCAACTAAAAATGGACTACTTTAAATAAAAAAAAACATACATTTATAACTTGTATTTAAGATTTACGATGCAAATCCAATTAAATCTACTTGTTTGGTAAACAAAGCAAGTATCTATAATAGATCTACTAAGTCAGAAAACATTACTTTAGAAACAAATAAATATTATTAATAACAAATAAATATTTACATGTTATTCATTAAAATTAATGAAAGTATTATATAAAAGCAGAATAAATAGACTCACAATGGGCTAAAGAAATTGTGGATTTCTGCACAAATAGATTCCACATGGGCCTACTTATGAGGTAGTGAAGTTTAAATTGATCATTTATTTGCTGTATAACCATTTGAGTAAAGAAAAAATATATATTTGAAAACACTCCCGCTGGTTTGCAATTTCTGGGTTAAGACATGACAACACTGCTTGTTCTCAAACTACATTTACTCATATTAAATTACTTAACCAGGACTCATTTTAAGATTCCAGAAGTTTCCAGATTTGTATGGTGGCATGCAGTGGTGTAAAATAACTAATTACAAATACTCAAATTACTGCAATTGAGTAGTTTTTCTCAAAAATTGTAATTAGCTTACAAGTTAGTTTTGTACCAAGTAGTTTGTATGTACTTTCTTTCCCTAAAGTACATTTTTATTGCAGCATCTGTACTTTTACTCCACTACATTGCTTCAACCTGCAGTCACTACTTTGTTTCTTGCCTATGGGGGTTAGAAAAATCAGTCCTGTGGTTCCTGACCAATCAAATCGCACATAGAAGAAAATCACATCATAAGGAACTACCTCAAGACATGTGCGCTTTATAATTGCAGCAAACTGCTTGGAAGCATTAAAAGTGTTGAAGAAGTCCAAAATCTTTACACGCATTGACCTAGAGCACAGGTGTCAAACTTAGTTCCAAAAGGGCCGCAGCCCTGAACAGTTTAGTTCCAACCCTAATTAAACACACCTGATCCAACAAAGTGAGTCCTTCAGGCTTGTTTGAAACCTACAGGTAAGTGTGTTGGAGCAGGGTTGGAACTAAACTGTGCAGGGATTCGGCCCTCCAGGAATTGAGTTTGACACCCGACCTAGAGACTGTTTAGATGCATGTTACTAATGAGAAGATCACGGATGTTTACTGTATGTTTATGTCCAAAAACACCCAGCCGGCACAAGATGTCAACATGACTTCAGATTGACGTTGTGCCCTCATGTCATGGGGATGTTGCATTTTCTTTGGAAATGAAAATCGGGTTGACATCAGAACTCAAAGTCAGACCAATGTCAATGTCCAACCTAAAACCAACCAAATATCAACGTCTAATGATGACACAGTTTGAAGTTGTGTGGACATTACCACTAAGATGTCTATCAGATGTTGGATTTTGGTTGCCATACCGGACCAAGAAATGTCAGTATTTGATGTTAATATGACGTTGGTTTAAGATGATGGCTCGATGTTGGATTTTGGTCACTTTCTAACAACCTAAAATCGACCAAATATCAATGTCATTTGACAACATTATTGAACTTCAAAATATCGTTGTCCTTAGACGCTGGCTAGCATTAAATTTTAGTCACCTGACATAATAACCTAAATCTAACCTAATATTAACATCTTATGACATTGTGTGCCTTCTGGGCAATAACTAAATGCACTACAGAATGTTTACACACACACCCACATGTACAAATTACATGTAAACGTATCAGCTATTCACAGCGTAATACTCACTACTCACTACTCTTAAGTACATTTGAAAGGTGTAATTTTTACTCATACCTTGAGTAATATTTACAACAGATACTTTTACTCTATTCGCACTAAATTTTTACGCAAGTACAGGTACTTTTACTAGAGTAAAAATTTTCAGTACTCTTTCCACCACTGGTGGCATGTTGATTCTGCCTTCTTTTTTTTTACACTGCAAGTAGGAGATATGTTATTTTTAAATATATTGTATTTTTCTTAAAATTAACTTAATTCTATATACCTACGAAGAATGTCAAGTCAAGAAAGTAGTCTTCATGAATGATGCATAATATATGCATTTAAGAACTTGCCTTGGCCTGAGTCTGCTGCAGCTCATGCTCCAGTCGATTTTTCTCATTTTTCAGCATTTTGTTGGTATCTGTAAGAGCACTCATGCTCTCCATCCTCTTCATCGTCTCTTCCTGCTGTACCAAGGTCTTTGTTGTCACCTGAAGAAAAGAGATAAATGCATTTTTATTTAAATCAGATCAAGTTACAATCAACAACAACAACAAAAAAAAAAAAACATTCAAATGGATGTATTAACCAAACATAAACACTTAAAGCAGATTTTAAATCTAATCCCTCAAATCTAAACTTGCACAACACAAACGACATGAGCTCCTGTTTATAAAACTCAATTACGGTGAACAAAAAACGTTAAGGACCTGCAACTTCTCTCTCTCTACATTCAGGCTGTCCTGTAGTTCCTTCAGCTCGCACTCCAGATACTCCATGCGCTGTTTGTAGCGAAGGGTCTCCACCTCGGCCACTTCCAGTCGGGTCTCTGCAATCTCCTTCTCCCGCCGGACAAACCTGATGGGTAAGAGGGTCTACGTCATCACTAGCTCTTACTCATACATACAGTGATGCATTTTAAAGATCATGTCGATAAAGGGGTTTTACCTGAGGATGTCCAGTATCTGCTCATGAGACTTGCCCTCCTCGTTCAGAGAGATGTTCAGACTGCTCTCTCCAGTCTCCTGCTGGGTTGAGGCAGTGATCTTGCTGCTCAAGTTCTCCATCTGCTCATGGAGCAAAGTGTTCTGCTTCTGCAGCTCCTCGGCTCTCTTCTGCTCTTTAGAAAGCGTTTCCTAAAAATAAAAATAAAAAAGTCAGGCAAATAAAATAGTGCTAAAAGGAAAGGTCATGAACTACAGCCCAACCAAAAAACCAAGACTTTGTTTAATTGTATAAAATACATAATTTAATTATTGTTTTGATTACCAAAACTGCAATCCCAATAAATAAAATCAAGCCAAATAAGTTATTTTGATAAAACATTACTAAATAAAACATGGAGTACAATAGAACTACAACATAATATAATAAACACTATACTATAATAGATTAGCAGTGCTTCCCACAGGTTTAAAATATAATTGAGGTGGTAGCCTCATGCGATTACCTACATGCGATTTAATAGAAAAAAATAAATAAATAAATAAATAAAATACTTTTTTAGCAATATTTATTATACATCTAAAAACATCTATAAAAACATTTCTAACGAGTTTAGATGTTATTTCGTCCTCTCTGAGTAAATAGAAAAGTTTATCCGAGTCGTTTAGATCAGAGAATTAATTATATGTTTCTCTCGATCTTACGGCTGTGCACACGCTGTCAGCTGCAAAGCCAAGCAAAAGTAAATCAGGCTTAAAATAAAAGTGTAATGGAAAAACACTTAATCTTAATGACAGCTTAGAAAGCGAAACCAAAAGCAGAATCCCAGACATTTTAGGAGATTTAGAAACCCTGGACACACACATTTTTAAGTCCCTAAAAAGGTGCGTCTCTGTGGTTCTCTGCAGAGAAGATTTTCCATTTTTTATTGGGCAAATACAAAAGTGTAAGGATAATAATAATAAATAAATCAAAAAATGTCACCAAATATACTTGGGCGGCTGTTAATATACCTAGGCACCAGTCCAAGTAAAGTCTATGTGTGAGTAGCACTGGATAAGAATAGTTAAATCAGTTCATTTATTTATATATATATATATATATATATATATATATATATATATATATATATATATATATATATATATATATATATATATATTTTATTTTTTTTTATTTTTTATTTTTCTTCCTTGGAATATTTTATGACTTGGACAAAACACAGATAAAATTCCATGAGTTTCAATGTCTGGATTATACCTTTTAAAATCCAACTTTTTGGGCATTTTTGGGAAGCCTGATTATAGCATTTGATTTATGAGAGCCTGTAAAGCTCACTAGCATCACTCTGCATCATTCATTTTACATTCTTCCTCCTCTGCCATCCACAAGATCTTACCTTTAGTCTCTTCTCCTGCATTACCCAGTCTGTGCGGTACTGATGCAGTTCAGATGCAGCTTTCTGAGCTTTCTCCTCGAGCTGCTTCATGTTTTGTGTTAAAAGCTGTCCCTGTTTCTTGGCGGCCTGCAGGGCTTCCACATCTGCAGCATGCAGCATGAGCTCTCGCTCGTATTTATTCTGAGCCTCTGCAGCCAGCTTAGCCTGAAGCAAAAAATATAAGACACAGGTAAGTAAACATAAGAAATTCTACAATTAGATGCCTGAAGACATGATTGGCTAATTTAGTGTAAGAGTTTCACATCTACCTGTACTTTGCTGTCCTGTGTGGCTTTCTGCTCCTGAGTGACTGCTGCTGTAGATCTCTGCAGAGCTTCCTGAAGCTCAGTCTGCATATTTGTCATGCTCCTTTTCAGCTCCTTCACCTGTCAATCAGGCAAAACAAAAGGTTCCAATATTCAGAACTTTGCTTTTAAGAATAAGAAGAATAATGCCAAGTCACGCATGGTTAAAATTACTTTATGGACGCATGTACGCACAAAAAAACAGTAAATACTTTTTTTTTATTCAGAACAGTCTACTGGTTGTGACGTTGAAAATTGTGTTGAATTTCTGAATATTTTCTAGGTTTTCTAAAAATAAAGAAGTTCTCAGGTAAAAGCAGAAGTGTTTTGTTACAGAAGATTTGTAACAATGAGAAAAGTCATTGGGTCTGGCAAGGTCATCCCGACACAGTTTAAATACAATTATTTATTTTAAATTATATAAATTCATGAATCAGTATATTTCCACCTGATTCACCACCAAGAGAATCTCAGCTTTTTTTGGAACTTCCAACACTTGGCTAACCAAGGTCCTTCCTTTCAGCTAAGTGTGGAAAGTCAGCAAAATCACACTTTTTATATCATCTAACAGACCAATCTTATGTTTGGCTTGAGGATATGCAAGACTATATCTTTGAACAAAGGTTTAATGTGCACTCTTATTTGTTTTTCATATGTGTGTATGTGCTGCCATATATGTGTGTTTGTGTTACAACTGACAGTTCAAACATGTAGTCTATAAAGGATAACATGTAAAACAATGGTCTCAAACTCAAGTCCTAGAGGGCCACAGCTCTGCATAGTTTAGCCCCAACCCCCTCCAACTCACACCTGCCTAATAGTCTCTAGTAGTCTTGAACACCATGATTAGTTGGATCAGCTGTGTTTGATTAGTGTTGGAACAAAACTGCAGTGTTGCGGCCCTCCAGGAATTGAGTTTGAGACCTATGATGTAGAAAGTGAATAATATATAGAAACTTCTTCCATAGTCGCCTTATACTAAACAAATGTTTTACAAATGTGTTAGTTGCCCTCACTCTACAAGTACTTTAAATTTGAATGGAAATATATAAACCAAATGAACCATTAATTACTAATATAAATTAATAATGAACAACACTTATTCAGCATTTATTAATCATAGTTCAACATTCACTAATGCATTACTAAAATTAATTAAAAGGTGTGCATGTTAATATTAATGCACAGTAAGTTAGCAAGAACTAACAAGGAACAATAGCATTTTCATTGACTAATGTTAACAAAGATGAATAAATACTGTTATAAATGTATTGTTTATGTTAGAAAATATATGAACTAACATTATTTATTGGAACCTTATCACAAAGTGTTACCCCCCCAAAAAAAATTCTACAAACCACTTTTAGACCTGTATGACCAGGGTGACTCAAGATTTTTTTGCCATCAACTTTTAACACCCTGGTGTGGCTAAATTACACAATTGTGATTTATATTCAGGCAAGTCGCAAACAACATGGACGTGCCATTCAATTGTGCTCCTTACCCGTTCTTCAACACTATCCACAGCTTTCATCTTCTCCTGCTGGAGCTCCAACTTCTCCTTCTCCGCTTCCACCAAACGGGCTTCCAGCTGCTGATTCAACTCCCGAGCCATCTTCAGTTGGTTGTCAGTGGAGGTCCGTGCTTGCTCAGCCAACTGAAAGAGGAATAATCTTTGAGCATGGTGGCTACTTTAATAGTGGTTTAGCTGTTTATAATGCTGGTTGTAAGGCAATAATGACCTGTTTCTCCTTGTTCACAGACTCCTCCAAGCTGAGCACCATAGATCTATACTGCTCTACATTGGTGGTGGTGTTCTTCAAGCGTTCTTTCAGGTCAGAGTTCTGTTCCTCGACCTGCTGTAGACGTGCACGAAGATCATCTGCCTCCTGTTGAGGAACGCTGGGAGCTGAAACTGGACATAACAAAAACAATATTACTTATACAGGACTGGAACTTATTTGACAGTCAATATTTCATTATTTTGTGTGTACCTCTGGGTAATGTCCTGACAGGCTGCTTAGGTGCTGCACTCTGATTCTCATTGTTGTTCAGTTGCTGTCTCAAAGAGGTCACCTGCTGTTCAGCAGATCTCAGCAGCTCTTTAGTCTTCTGGTGTAGTGCGGTCTGTGACTCCAGCTTCTTCTTAGCCTCCAACAGCTGAGTCTAGTCAATGAAAACAAGAAATTATTTCCACAAGTCTTCTGGGTAGGCATGCATTTGTTAGCCAAAAATGCCCTTTTCAGATTTCAACCGAAAGAGAAAAATCATCACTGTGCTTATGAAATGCATTCATATCACAGTCAAAATAGATCAATAGTCCACTCTGTGGATATAACACTGAGTTACATGTATACTTGTATCTTCATGAACTGCTTGAGCTCACCAGAGCAGCAAATTCCACTCAAATAACGCACCGATGGGACATTTCTATGCACTTGTTCCTGCTGTTCACAACAGCGCCAGTGCTGTTATGGCAATGCTGATAAACTGACACTGTACAACTCGTTCAATTGCTGCTTCCAAAATCATCTACTTCGAGGACGTACAACATTTAAATTAGAATTTACAACATGACTTTTAGAAAAGTATGTTCTATATGATATGAATGAAATTCAAACGCACTACATCTGCCATTTGTCATTATAACTTGCGTCAGTTTGACCCCTTCACTCATATTACTCAGGGCCTAATGGGATAGTACAGCGTCCTTTAGATGCTGTGGTGTCTGGATGTTTAATGACATTAATTGTAAAAGATGCAAAACTTTACTTAGATATTCGGATACTCGTATACTTGCAAAACCAGCTATAAGCAATGAAAAGAAACATAAGAGACGCTTTCGACAGAGTTCGAAGAGGTAAAGGATGACGTACTGCTGTGGGTCAGTTTTCTGCTGACCATAAAGGAAGAAATTATGACACTTCTAACCAATTATATCAACCGAAAAGCCTGGGAGCTTTATCTTCAGAGGAAGATATTCTTTGCCAGTTAGAAGCTATGGCCTTGGAGGACAAGACCCCTAAAAGACTGCCTGAATGCTGATTTAATAGAAGAAGCACTTTGCTTTGTTTTTATTCATGTGCATCACCCTAGAGAGTAACTACTCAGCTCTGGAAAACAAAGAGATGTCTTTGTATTTACATTTTTGAGATGTACTCAAAAATAATCAAACAGTGATTATTGCTTTGCTGTGCATTTACTCAGAACCAACAGACATTTTCTTCTCCATATCAACATTTGAGATATACTCAAATATTGACCATTTCAATGTTGTGATGTCATTGGCCACTGCATATTTCTTGCTTGTTATCAAACTATTTAATAACTGTAACAAGAGGCAATTCAATCATAACTTGTTGTTAAAACAGCTTTCATAACATTATTTTTCAATTTGTTGCTCTTTTTGGTTTCTCAGAAGCTATAGAAATAAAAAAATATTTTAAACAAGAAATGTGTTGGAACCATTGTTTTTGTTTACATGCCTCAAATTGGTCTATATCAAAATTTTGTTAAACTCATGTACATCAAAACATTGATGGCTTAAAACATGATATGCTTCAGGAGAATGTGAATGGCTTTCGAAGAGAAACTGAAGCCCTGCGGGAGAGGAATCTAAAGATGTCTGCCACCCATCAGAGACATGAGCAAATCATTCACACAATGACTCAAGACCTGAGGGAGGCCAATGAGAAACTGACCAAGGCTGAGGTCAGATAACATTCCATTAGCTTTTACAGTCACATCCCAGCCGACTTTATCAAAGCACGCTTTTTCACTTTGGATTTGTTCTTAAAGGGATAGTTGAACATACAAACCAGCAGCGCACTTAAACAGACTTCTGTATACTGTGTTCACACCAGACGCGGAAATAGTCGCGTGAACATTTGAGGTTACTCGCTTCATTCGCGCGTCAAACCCTGCTTCATTCGCGCGTCAAACCCTGCTTCATTCGCGCGTCAAACCCTGCTTCATTCGCGCGTCAAACCCTGCTTCATTCGCGCGTCAAATTCACTTCAGAACAGACGCGGATTCGCGTGATGGGCAGGGCTTCTGTCTGCCCCGTGACTCTAACTTCATAGCTAAAGGGCTAACATGGATTTTATGAAGAAAATACCAGTGTTTATGTGCTTTATGTAGGATGATAAACAGCGTCGATACGTTTAGAGCCGTGTCTGAGTCCACTACATCCTTTCAGAGGTGCATCCAGCTCTTTAAGCTCATAGACTCCTCCAGAAACTGAACCTGGCTGATGGAGGTTTTCAGCGGTGCTTCTGACTGAGCCCAGCCCAGTTTAATGAACTTCTTGTCTGTGTCTGCTGGGGGATTTACTTGGGACACCGACAACAGGCGATACGTCACAATCACGCCCCCACAAGAGCAAGCTCCTGATTGGTTAACGTGGCGCGAATGTCCGCTGAAGTTCAGATTTTCGATTGCGAGTGATTCGCGTGAAACGCTCATTAGGCCGTTTATTCTCAGTGGAGAATAAAGTAAACGGTTTTGTTTTGTTCTTATATTCGTTTTATTCTTTTTTATTAATAAAAGTGTATTTTCCTTCATTTTCTTCCTGGAGTGGACATTAGCTTTATTTGCAGAACCCATCAAAAAACCTCATGATAAGTTATGAATCTAATTACTTCTTGAAAAACATTACAAAAGATGGTCCTAAACAAAACTATAGCTAAGAAATATAGTGAAGAGAGGATCTCGGTTCCTTTATTTAATTTGGGTATTAAATAAATGGCATAAAGCACAATGCGCAGTACAGAATCTCACCAGAAGTAGTAGGTCATCAGAGTACTTCTCATCTACCATTTTTCAAAAACTATGAATTTGGATAAACTTTCCAGCTCCCATTCAATTTTTAACATACTATATAGTATAGAATTATGCTCTTTCTGATGCAGCCCAAGTAGATCCAATTTTACTGGCTTTTTTGTTTTTATTTCAGCCTGGAATTTTAATTTCGGTGCATCCATATTTATGGGTGTTGACAGATTAATTAACCCTAAATGATTCATAATAAACGAAGGAGCTTACATCTTGGTTGCGTTCCAGTGCGTGTCTCTGTTCCACTTCTTGCTCCAGCCTCTTCTTTAACTGGATAATCTCCTTTTCCAGATGCTGGATTTGATTATTGTAGCGCTGTTTGGTCTCAGTTTCAGAGCGCTCCATGGTGAGCTATAACATGGAAAAAATATATTAAAAGGAGAGTGCATGTAAAATTGAACATTACCTTAGCAATAACTCACTTTTAAGAATTATATTTTTCTTTTGAACACAAAACACAACAAAAGTTGTGAAGTAATTTGGGAAAAAAAAGTCATTAATATCCATGGTAGGAACCAAAAGATTCTAGGGAAGACAATGACTACTGTTCTGACTAAACATTTTTTAGTATTTCTTTCTTTGTGTTTAACTTAAAAGTGTAGAATGAGTAAATAATGACAGAGAGGGAGGGGGGGGGGGGGGGGTCAACTATCCCTTTAAGAACAAAGCCAAAGTGAAAAAGCGTGCTTTGATAAAGTCGGCAGAGATGTGTATACCTGAATGGATTTGAGGTTGGTGAGCAGAAGGTTCTGGCTCCGCTGTTCAGTCAGGATAGACTCTTTCTCCTGGTTGAGTCTGTTTTCCACCTGTTTCAGAATGTCTCGTTCCTTACGGATGTTTTCAGCCCGCGACTGGCAGAAAGAAAACAAAACGATGCTAAATTCCAGATTAACTTAGAAAATTCATTAAAGCTAATGGAATGTTCTCTGACCTCGGACATGGTCAGTTTCTCATTGGCCTCCCTCAGGTCTTGAGTCATTGTGTGAATGATTTGCTCATGTCTCTGATGGGTGGCAGACATCTTTTGATTCCTCTCCCGCAGGGCTTCAGTCTCTCTTCGAAAGCCATTCACATTCTCCTGAAGCATATCATACCTGCCATAGAACCATTCAGAATTTAAGAATTCAGTCCATTGCAATTATTAGGATAAGAACCAAACAAGCAATTTAAATGTATTAAATGATTATATATATTCACTAAATTCTATAATGTTATGTTATATATATATATATATATATATATATATATATATATATATATATATATATATATATATATATATATATATATATATATATATATTAAATATAAATAAAAATACATAAATACATTCAATATTATCACTACAAATGTTGTGCACCGATTACAAATCATTTTAAATAAGGTTACTAAAATCTAAATGTATTAAAATTGTCAATTTAATGAGATCCTTTATTTAATAAAGTTAATAAAAATATAATGATGTTGAATATACTAAACTTCTTCCTCAAGATTAACCTAAAGATTCTAAAACCGTTTCTTTAACAGCCCTCATATTTGTGCATGAAATATTGAACAAGAAATAAAAACATGTATAAATATATCAAAACATGAAGGGAAGACCTATTTGCAACAAACTGAAAATATGTAGCTGTCGCTAAATTACTATTTCTGGTCTGATGTTCTCACCGTTTAGAGGCAAACTCCAGCTGAGAGGACAGTTTGGCCTTTTGTGAGAGCAGGTCAGACACTTGACCACGAAGCCTCTCAATCTGCTCATTTAGAAGCTTGTCATTTTCGGCCTTCTCCTTTTTATATGTAGTAAAGGCATCATTTATCTACGAGAAGAAAAGATGAATTCAACCATTAATACAGAATGTTCAAATGAGTTTTGTGCTTCAGAGTCATTATTAAAATTAAAGCTTATTCTTCTTTTTATCATTCTAAATCCAAACATAAGATTTACACCCACAAAACACAAAAATGAAAGTCTATGAGAATATTCATACATGGATGTTAGGAATACAATGACAACAAATTTAAAGAGACAGCTCACAAAAACTTAACATTCCATCATTTACTTAGCCCTTACTTTTTCCTTTTTTTTTTTTGAAGAAAGCTGGAGTCAATGTTTTCAATGTAAAGAAACTCAATGTTCTTAAACCACTTGAGGAAGAGTAAATGGTCCTTTTTTGCATTAACTAACATCTTGCTAGGAAGTTGAGCAACTGACCCAGGCTTTACATATTTCAAGATGACTTGAGCTGTGTCATTTAACATTAAATGTCAAGAAAACTGTTTTTATGTGCTTCTCCATAAGAAATAGGCCTGCAACAGACATATTTGAGGTGCTGATTAAAAATAAAGTTATTGAAGAAGTGAACAAATTTAAGTACCTTGGCATAACTCTAGACATTAATTTTAAATTTGATAGTCATGTTAATGTGTAAGAGGGTCAAGCCAAGTATAAACCGTTTTAGTTTCATTAGAAGATTTTTAACAATCAAACTGCAAAATTATACAAGCACACAATATTTGACTCGATATAAAAACAAGCAATTCAAATGATTGCCTCAAAGCCTCTGCGATGGCATTATGTGAGGTTTTTATGTAAACATAATATTTTTAGTTTTGATAGTTTTATTAAATTTAATTATTTTACAGTTTTTTTTTAAATGTTATCATGTTCCAATGCAGTTTTCTGATCTAATCAGTACGCATCAAACCTCTCACAAAGTCACATGAGCAAGTGCTAATAATGACTGTCTGGTATCAAGTTTTTTCTGTTAGGGGAACCAAATTGTAGAATGATTTACCCGTTAGCCCTAAATTGCAAAGTAATATAAATATTTTTAGTAGTTCTTAAAAATGGGTTAAAAACAATACAGCAGTGTTTGCACAAATAGTCTACTATGGGTTATTTGATCATGCAAGAATTAAAATGTCATGTATATGTATCCATATTATTTTATATGTCCAGCCCCCATGGACTGGAGAGCTAGCAAACCTGCTATAACATTTAAATGAATTTGGTTGTCCAGTGTAATTGTGATGTCCATGTCAAATAAATAAATAAATAAAATGTAGTCTTTGGATAAGCTTAATTTTTCTACTTAAAGTGAAGAACTTCAGTGAGACGATATGTCTAACCTGTTTAAGTGCTGCTTTAGACTGGGTTGCCTGGAAAGATTCTGCAGCAGCAGCCCTTAGTGGTGTGGATCTAGTGGCCATGGGTCCTGGCCTGCTGGGAGTAGTGGATTGAGATCCACCATCTGAACCTTAACACAATCACCAGCAAATGAGTTGCACTTCAGTTTACACTTGGATTATAGATTAGGAAAATAAAAGTGAAGCAATAATTTCTCACCCTGTGGTGGAAGCTCGACTCCGGCTGTCTGCAAAAGGATACGGTACATGTCTCTCTGGCGGATGGCAGATTCAGCCAGCAGCTTCTGATGGTTTTGCTGTTCCTTGATCTGCTCCAGCTCCTTCTGAACCTTCTCCAGACTTTGTTCCAATTCTGTTTGCCTGAGATAACGGAGGTGAATTTTTAATGACCTTCAAATAGTTAATAAAGTATAGGAGGACATGGACTGATTCTATGTCTTCTGTCTTCTAATTGACTGATAATACTTGTAGGAATTAATTAAAACCACAACGGGTTACTTTGCATACATTTGAATAACATTTGCCTTCCGTTCATCTTTGTATTGCAAAATAAGACTTTGCCCCCTCTTTTTTTCTGAAGATTTCTTAAAATGACTGGTGGCATTTCAGGTTTAGGGAAATTCAAACGACTGAAACAAATCATTGCAATTAATTAATATGGTTGTGCAACAAATAATAATAATAATAATAATAAATAATAAAATAAATAATAAAACGTTTTTTTCATGTGTAAAACACAAGGGAAGATTTACTAAAGAATGCTTAAAAAAATCAACTAAAAATAAAAACAGCCATTGACTAATTGTATTTTTTGTATTATTATTTCTACTATGGATGTCAATGACTGTTTTCCCCAACATTCTTCAGAATTTTATCTTTTGAGTTAAAACAGAAAAAAGAAACTCATAAACATTTTTAACCACTTGAGCACAAGTAAATAATACGCCTGTCATGATACCCATTTTTTGCTGTATTATATATTGCGATACACGGTATTATTGGCATTTTAGGTCCATTTTAAGACACTCATTATATAACGCCAAGACAATATAATAGCATCACAATGCAAGTGCAAATATTTAATTATAGTCATTTTAACAATTTAATAATTATGCATTGGAATTAAAATGTGATCATGCATATCCTAAATAATAAATAATAATAAATGTTAACAAAAAAGCGCAAAGTTAAAAAGTAACAGGCTGCAATACCAGATCTATTTTCACTTGTCAGATACACTTATAAAAATATACTAAAGTAATTTATAGTAAACACCATACTGACACTGACACGTCCATAGAGATAGACACGTTACACGATCAGCTAAAATGTTGCTAGAATGGGGTTTTATGTATGGGCGATATATAGTTGAAGTCAAAATTATTAAACCACCTTTAAGTTTGTTTTTTTTTTTCTTTTTTAGATATTTTCCAAATGATGTTTAACAGAGCAAGAACATTTTCAGAACAATTTACAGAACAAACCATCGTTATGCAATAAATAGCCTAATTACCCTAACCTGCCTAATTAACAAAGTTAATCCTTTAAATGTCACTTTAAGCTGTATAGAAGTGTTTTGAAAAATATCTAGTCAAATATTATTGACTTTCACCATGCCAAAGATAAAGTAAACCAGTTATTAGAGATTAGTTATTAAAACTATTATGTTTAGAAACGTGTTGAAAAAAATCTGCTCTCCGGTAAACAGAAATTGGGGAGAAAATAAACAGGGGGCTAATAATTCAGGGGGGCTAATAATTCTAACTTCAACTGTATATTGCATAACCAAAAGACCATATCCATGTATTGTTTGGTAAGTCAATATATTGATTATTGTGACAGGCCTGGTAAATTATAAGGAATATTTGGGTGAGATTTCCCTTTAAATCTACTCTAGATCTTTTTAATAGATTACTGCTTCTGAAAGACTTATTTAAAATTTTTGGGACATGGCCCGCTGATAGTAATCAAAACTTTTAAAATACAAAAAATTGATCAGTACTTTGCACTCTTAGCCTGGTTCTGGTCTTTTTCTCTCTGCTCTTCCAGGTCTCTGATCTTGACCAGTAAGTTCTGGTTCTGCTGCTGAAGCTCTTGGATGCTGCGGAATGCCACCTGTCGTGAACCCTGGACCTCAGAGCTACTGCTCACAGCAGAACTCACATCCTCACGCACTACCTGATTACCACGTGCCTCCTCCACCTCCACCAGAAGCACACGCACCTGAATCATCAACCAACAAAATTGTGGATACATGTATCAGATTTTGGGATCATAAAGAATGTGCTTTATCTCAGCGTTGACTGTAACGTTACCTGCTCAGACATGTCGGCTAGCTGTCTCTCTGATTTCTGATTATCTCTTTCAAGCACTAAAGCTCTCTTATTGGCTTCATCCGTTTCTTTTTGTAGCCGATGGACCTCCTACAAGATAAAAAAAGGGATTAGCGTCTACTAAAAATCATCATTATCCTGTTCCTTCTTTTTGCATTAGCTCTCAAATGTGTGCAAACCTTCATAGCTTGCTCTAGTTTATAACAGAGACTGGTCATAGACTTCTGCATGCTCTCATATTCCTCTCTCTGGCGTTTCAGGATGGGAGCTTTGGTTTCCACCTCCAGCACGATCTCATCAAGGACCTTGTTCACACGCTTGTTCTCCAACTTCTCAAGGTGCAGCTGGTCTTGTGCCTCCACAAAGGCATTGTACAACTGAACACAAAAACAGGACAGATTAATTCAGGGTTCTTACACTTTTTAAGAATCAAATTTAATTACTTCTTAAGCATTTTCTAAGCGTGTTTGTAAAGTTTTCCAGCACGCTATAACTGTTAAACTATGTATAGAGAAGAGAATTGAGGTTATTGCCATATTGCATTTTTTGGCTATGTCATGGCAAAAAAAAAACAAAAAAAAAAGATTAGCCAACCACATTTTATAAATACCATTTTTGTATAATTATAAATTTATTCTAACAAAAAAAAAGTCATCAACAGCTATAAATAATACACAAGTTAAAATACATAAATAATAATAATGATACTACGCAAGATAAAAATCTAAAACAGTTTAAGGTTTACTTTTGATAAAAATGTTACAATTTTAGAAGGATTCACATTTAAAACTATTTTATTTAAAGTCTTTCCAGATAAAAAAATAGTTTAAACTGTGTATACGTTACATACAAACTGTATTGTATTTAAATAGGTATAGTCAATTATTAAGACAAATTCTGAAAGCATTTGAATTCAAGCAGTTTAATCAAATAAAATGTAAGCACTTTTCAAACCTTAAAAACATTACTAAAATTCAAGCATGTTATGTTAAATTATGAATATTCTGTCTGAAAACTAATTATGTTTATTACAAGAAAAAGGCCACAAGTTTAAGAATGATGGCTTGCTTGGATCGGGACTTGTGGAGCTGCGCTTCGGTGGATTTGCTCTTCCGTGTTTGAATTTTCAGTAGTGAAATTCAAACCACTCTGAACTGTATGGAATCAGTTTAGTCTCAAAAGAAATTCACGCAAAAGACACGATGTACACATGCATAGCCAAAGTCATGTGCATAAAATCAAATTCACGTGCGTAAAATATTTATTTATATTCACTAAATAATTTCACATGCACAAAATAAAAATACATTTTCATAAAATACGTTTCATAAATGCAAAACACCATTTGCAAATGTATAAGAGTGTGCAAAAAGTTTTGAATGTTTAAAACTTGCGAGTTCATCCTGAATGAGTGTGCAAATCCTCTTTCATGTACGACTCCCCCTGGATACGCTTGTGTGTATTTTTGAGACTCTTCTGCTAGAGGCAGGGCTACTCGTACCTTTCAGCCAATCAGAGGAGAGCTGTATTCAATAAAACCAACTCTGTGCTTCTTTTGCGCAGACTGTTCCTCTCCAGCATGGCGAACGGAGAAAGCAGGCGTCGCACTTTTTTTTAAATTTAATTATTTGTCCATATCCTCACTCTTTTTATCCATTATTTTGCCGCAGCTCCGCTCTTCTTATTTATTGTCTCGCAGCCCCATGAGCGTAATATATCCTGCAGGGTAATCATAAGTATCATTCCGGCCACACCACCTTTGCAGTGCCAATGTGGTCCAGTGGTCAGCACGTTAGGTTACCATGCGCTAGGATTCGTGTTTGATCCTCATCTGAAATAATAGCTTTATTTATTTTTTTTTTCATTTTTATTGTAAGACATCTAAAACTAAGGTTGTTAAACATTTGAAGTTCTAAAGCAGCTTTTTTTATTAAAAAAGACGTGATAGTGTCATTAGAAACTGAATGAAACTGAAAAAAATAAAGATCTTCACCAAAGTAAATATCTTTTTTTCAGTTTCATTCAGTTTGTAATGACACTATCACGTCTTTTTTAATAAAACAGCTGCTTTAGAACTTCATATGTTCAACAACCTTACAGTTTTATATGTCTTAACAATAAAAATGAAAAAAAGTAAAGTTATTAACTCAGGTGAGGATCGAACACGGATCCTAGCGCATGATAACATAATGTGCTGACCACTGGACCACAATGGCGCTGCAAAAGTAGTGTGGCTGGAATGATACTTATGATTACCCTGCAGGATATATTCCGCTCATGGGGCTGCAAGACAATAAATTTGAAGAGCGTGTTATCAATATATTTTGAAATAAATAATGACATTGACATCAATTGGAGGGGCCAATTAATTTGAAGTAGGCTACAAAAAAAATTAAAGCTGCAAGCAGCGATGATAGGGACCTCGCACCCGGGCTCACCGCCGCCCGGTGACCTTACGATGACAGAGAACAGCGAACAATAATAATTTAAGCCAATATATTTTTAAAAATCTAAGAAAATCACATATTTGTGCCACACTTCCTCCTGTCAGCAGGTGGCGCTATAACTGTGACTCAAGATTGGCATGTAGATGTCTTCCGGAGAGGAATCTTATCAACCATGTGAAGTTTCAGGCACATGGGACATTGTGTGGCTGAGTTATAAGCCAAACTACCTTCTGCCAGCAGGTGGCGTTATGACTGACTCAATATTGTTATGTGGATGTGTTGAGGAGAGGACAGTGTCAAACATGTCATTTCCTGTGGTCAGCAGGTGGCGCTATAACTGTAACTGGATATCGGCACGTAAACCTGTTCAGGTCAGGACTCTTATTAAATGTGTGAAGTTTGACGCAGATCGAATATTGCATGCCTGAGTTATAACGACTTCCTATTTTGTGGCGAATCATCAAAGTTTGCGAGGCCGCCACGGACACGCCCATCGATGAAAACTCTAAAGCTTCGCAATTTAACATCACCAAGGCTTTAAGATGACAAAACCCAATTTTGGTGTTGATCAGATAAAATCCCTAGGAGGAGTTCGTTAAAATACAACGCCTGAAAATGGCAAAAATGGCGTTTTTGCCGCACAAAGTCAAAAATATCCGACTTCCTGTTAGGTTTGAGATATGGCTCCAAGAGACTTTTTCGTATGTTTTGCCATGTTTGAGGTGTGTGCCAATTTTTGTGCATATGCGTGATTCGTAGATCGAGGGCTTGTCCATTTAATTTTTATAGGTGGCGCTGTCGAGTCATTTTGCCACGCCCACTTCAATATTGTTATGGGGATGTGTTCAAGAGAGGACGTTTATCAACCATGTGAAGTTTCAGGCAGATCGGACATTGTGTGGTTGAGTTATAAGGACTTCCTGTTCCATGGCGAAGCGTTGAGGTTTGTCATACCGCCACGGACACGCCCCTCTGCAAAAACTCTTGATCTTCACAATATATCATCGCTAGAGCTTTCAGATAACACCACCCAATTTTGGTGCTGATACGATAAAATTTGTGGGAGGAGTTTATCACTCCGTAAATCATATTATTTCCTGTGGCCAGCAGGTGGCGCTATAACTGTATCTGGATATTGGCATGTAAACGTGTTTAGGTCAGGACTGTTATTAAAGGTGTGAACTTTAAGGCAGATCTGATAATGCATGCCTGAGTTATAACGGCTTCCTGTTTTGTGGCGAATCAAAGTTTGCGAGGCCGCCACGGACACGCCCATCGACGAAAACTCTAAAGCTTCGCAATTTAACATCAGAAGAAGAAGAAGAAGAAGAAGAAGAAGATTCAGAAGAAGAAGATTCAGAAGATGATTCAGAAGAAGAAGATTCAGAAGAAGAAGATTCAGAAGATTCAGAAGAAGAAGATTCAGAAGAAGATTCAGAAGAAGAAGATTCAGAAGAAGATTCAGAAGAAGAAGATTCAGAAGAAGATTCAGAAGAAGAAGAAGAAGAAGAAGATTCAGAAGAAGATTCAGAAGAAGATTTAGAAGAAGATTCAGAAGATTCAGAAGATTCAGAAGAAGAAGATTCAGAAGAAGAAGATTCAGAAGAAGAAGATTCAGAAGAAGATTCAGAAGAAGAAGATTCAGAAGAAGAAGATTCAGAAGAAGATTCAGAAGAAGAAGATTCAGAAGAAGAAGATTCAGAAGAAGAAGATTCAGAAGAAGATTCAGAAGAAGATTCAGAAGAAGATTCAGAAGAAGAAGATTCAGAAGAAGAAGATTCAGAAGAAGATTCAGAAGAAGATTCAGAAGAAGATTCAGAAGAAGAAGAAGAAGAAAAAGAAGATTCAAAAGAAGATTCAGAAGAAGATTCAGAAGAAGAAGATTCAAAAGAAGATTCAGAAGAAGAAGATTCAAAAGAAGATTCAGAAGAAGAAGATTCAAAAGAAGAAGATTCAGAAGAAGATTCAGAAGAAGATTCAGAAGAAGAATATTCAGAAGAAGATTCAGAAGAAGAAGAAGATTCAGAAGATTCATAAGAATAAGATTCAGAAGATTCAGAAGAAGATTCATAAGAATAAGATTCAGAAGAAGAAGATTCAGAAGAAGATTCAGAAGAAGAAGAAGATTCAGAAGAAGAAAAAGAAGATTCAGAAGAAGAAGAAGATTCAGATTCAGAAGATTCAGATTCAGAAGATTCAGAAGAAGAAGATTCAAAAGAAGAAGATTCAGAAGAAGATTCATAAGAAGAAGATTCAGAAGAAGAAGATTCAAAAGAAGAAGATTCAGAAGAAGATTCATAAGAAGAAGATTCAGAAGAAGAAGAAGATTCAGAAGATCCAGAAGAAGAAGATTCAAAAGAAGAAGATTCAGAAGAAGATTCATAAGAAGAAGATTCAGAAGAAGAAGAAGATTCAGAAGATCCAGAAGAAGAAGATTCAGAAGAAGATTCAGAAGAAGATTCAGAAGAAGATTCAGAAGAAGATTCAGAAGAAGAAGATTCAGAAGAAGAAGATTCAGAAGAAGAAGATTCAGAAGAAGAAGATTCAGAAGAAGATTCAGAAGAAGAAGAAGATTTAGAAGAAGATTCAGAAGATTCAGAAGAAGAAGATTCAGAAGAAGATTCAGAAGAAGATTCAGAAGAAGATTCAGAAGAAGATTCAGAAGAAGATTCAGAAGAAGAAGATTCAGAAGAAGATTCAGAAGAAGAAGAAGAAGATTCATAAGAAGAAGATTCAGAAGATTCAGAAGAAGAAGATTCAGAAGAAGATTCAGAAGAAGATTCAGAAGAAGAAGATTCAGAAGAAGAAGATTCAGAAGAAGAAGATTCAGAAGAAGATTCAGAAGAAGAAGAAGATTCAGAAGAAGATTCAGAAGAAGATTCAGAAGAAGAAGATTCAGAAGAAGAAGATTCAGAAGAAGATTCAGAAGA